GATGACGTGCCCGTCAGGACTTGTGTTCCGGTTACGTTCGATGCCCTATGAATCCTTTGAAAATATAAATCAGGAAACTCAGATACGAAAGAAAGAAGTGTATTGAGATTCTCCGCCTGACTGGGCGTTATTGCACAAGCCAACATGAAGCGAATCCACGCACGGGTTTGTCGGATGATTCCCATTCGAGCCGCGGAAGCACATGACCGGTATTGCGTTCTCAGTCCGCCATTCTTATCTTTTGAGTATCTCAGGTAAATAAATCTTGAAGCGGCATTGAGCGTCACGCAGAAACGTTGCCGTTCGCTGAATACTAGTATCATGCCATTCAAGACAAACGTAAGGAGGAAGGCAATCCGCTTGTCGTCTGCCTTCTGTTCCATTTTGTGGCTTATTAGAACAGGCTTAGAGGCACGTTTCTTCCTTTTGAGCCAATGTTTATTATGATTAAGACGTTGAAGAAGGCAAGAATAAGGCACTCAACAGCAGTCCGTGGTTCCCTCGATTACCTCGATAGCCATGGACCATACATACGTCCAGCCTCTCTTAGCCATCAACCTTTACACCAATGTGTCGGAAATGCGGGCGTATTCTTGCGTCTGCAAATAGAACGCTGGTAATTTCCGACATCAGGTTATCCGAGCGTTGGCCTATCTTCGAACCTCCAATGGCAATATTCGTAGAAAGAAGCCCGGCTTTCAGCAGTGCCATGTCTTCATCAAGACTACGACAGTAATACAGTATCGTAGACGCCACCAAGAGACAGCCATGTTGTACTCCTTGAAGCGACTTTTGTTGAGAGTATGCAGTAGAGGGCATGCCGTTCCTTTCGTCTGGCTTTTGCGTACTCAGAAGAGACGTAGGCATTAGCGAATTGCTGGTGGTCAAGAGCACTTAAAATGCCTTTCCATGCAGTTTTTGTATGCTCTCAGAGCGATGAGACTTCTCAAAGAGCCCAGCTAGTCTTCTGTCTTCCCCCTTCTCATGGCCCTATCGATGATCCTACGCTGCATCACCAAATTCCTACAACGGAGCTGCTTCTAGTATTAAAGGGCTTGCGAATTGAGACCCTGGTTGCTATAACAATGAGGAGGGAAAGGAGGAGGGGGGAGGGAAGCGAAATGGTTTCGAGAAAGGGGTCATTCCGGTTCATCTGTCAGGGGAACATAACCAGCTCATAACCATAATATCGGCTCGAAATATGTAGCTACTAACTCTTGAGCTATAAGTAGCCCTTGGCAGGAAGGTATTCCAAGTACATTGACATTACGTAAATAGAGGAGTTGTTGGACGCCAGGCTGGAGGAATCGTCACTTCTACAAGGCGTGTAACGCATGAGTACTAATTGACGTTTGCGATGTTAACGCCAATCATAGCACAATCTATTTGCATCCATTAGATACTCGAACGACATTTTCCTTGAGTGGATTTCGCAAGGGACGCGATCCTGCGTAAATACTCTTCATCGGCGCGAATCATAGGCAGGTCTTGCGTATATATTTCCTCCTGGAGTTTGATTAACTGTCATCACATGCAATTTCGTGAGTCGGGTAGCCGGAGATCTTAGCCTAAGACAACTTCCATCTGGAAAAGCTTCCGAGGTTCTAAGGCATCTTCACAGCCCCGTATGACAAAGACAGGGCTGTTCAGCTCGTCTTTCAAAGTATTCGTGGTGATAATCCTGTAGTGAAGCAAGCCAGAGAGCCAGAAGACAGAACTAGAATCCCGTTGACATATGGAACATGTCTTTGTGTTATAGTATCAAGAAACAAGAAATGTTGCCGCCAACTTTCTTCGACCCCACATCCATGCTTTCAGATTGAAAGAGCAGGCAAATTGGTTGTCAAATCACTGGGCTAGGCTTGCTTGCGAGCTATTTATACCGGCGAAGACGAGACAACCGGAGAGTGCATAATCTTAAGTCACCCACTCTCATACACCGCAATTCCCCGGAAAATTTTGCTTTTATCCTTTCAAGGGGCAGCGTTTTGCACAAAATAATCCAATAAAAGCGTTGGTAACATGGAGAGCCAACGAGAACCCAATTGCCTTGGTAACCCTGGTAACCACCAGCAGGAATGAACCGGGCTTTCTGGGCCCTTGAAGACGGCACAAAGATCCAGCAGTCTTGTTTCCTGACGAAGACTACTCGTAAAAGCTGAGATCTCTTCCGGCAGGTATTCCAAACAGATCCTCCCACGGCAGCGAAATAGGTGGATGCCAATCTAGGCATTGGCCGTCAATGACTGACTGATCCCAGTGACCCTTTTGCTCGAGTCGCAGCACCCGACGCCGACATTCAAGCCTTCGGGGCATTCTGCAGAGATCACCCGGAACTATGGAGAAAGTTGATGCGACTGTTTCGGGACGACTGTGTTCAGCGCGGAAGGCTCAACAATCCCCCAATCCAGAACTATCAAATGCGCCCTCGACCCTACCGATGCCTGAGAGTTACCAGCTAGAGAATCCTAGGAATAATTCATAGGTCTATGAGACCGACAAAACAATACGACTCGCTCCTATCATATTGTTTTGACTACCCCCATTATCTCAGACCACGGGTTATGTATCCCCGCCTCGGCTTTAGGATAACCTCAGTAGCTCTTTCACTCTTCGAAACGACGGCATAAATATGGAGAGCACACGTGCATGATTATGGTATCGGCCAAACAGAGAACTAGCTGCCCTTACCTCAGTCTGTATCCATGGCCTGAGTATCAAATCCAAAGAGATTCCGAGTTGACTTGATCTTCCGAATTCGATATCCTGCTTCGCCACAGTCATTTGTCGTCTCTGGCAGTTGATTCGACTGAAACAACTACAGACACCAGATGAGGGCACCAGGTCTTACTATCGTACTTGAGGGAGTATGGGCTGGATACCAGGTGGCAAGGGCCACCCAGTCGTAGCCAACAGTGAAGAGCACTCCAAACTAAGAGACAGGCAGCCCTATTGGTGAGATACAACTCCCCCATGAAGTGTAGCCGAATATATACGTCCAACGAAGTCAAAGCGCATCTGTCCGCTGCATCTACAAGCCTCATATCGCAACACCGTCAGCCCAGCCGTCTATAAAAACAATGACAGGGTTCATTGAAGTCAAACTTCAAGTCTTGCGAGTTCATACTCCTCATTGGTGCTAAAAACAATCCCGAGTGAGATTTTGAACATCCCCAAGTCTCAGAATCGAAGACGAGGCGCAAGTAACCTGCTCAATCTTTCACCCTTCTCCATGTATGAACCACAAATACTTCTACGTCAAGAGAGAAGGTTTCAGAGGTCCACATGGCCCATATCTGCCTGACCGAGCACACGACATGTCGCATGGATGTTTAATATACCGGCCATAACTGGAATATCCGTCGTGAGTCCATCGCCTGGATTCTGCTTAGTTATTCGGTGGCAAGAGAAAATCGAATGGGAAACAGCTGAAGTTACCTCTTTATACGCTGGTACTTGCCGATCTCAGCATGGGCCAAGAGGCACCACGATAGCATCCAGACTCGTCATCCGCAGGAATACCATAAATACAACAACAGTGCATGGCCTGTCTACTCAAACCAATAAATGCTGCCAAATGGCAAGTGCACTCTGGATAAAGAAACACGGCAGGCTCCCGAGCATTGAACACAAGTGTAGACAGGTCCTCGCGACGAGCGCAGCTCTCATCTCTTCCTTTGACACCATACTTGCACAGAGATTCATCTGCAATACCCGGGACGGTGATGAGTTCTGGCCAGAAGCAAGACCCGAAATACCGCCAGGATGTCATTGAGATAATAGACTTTTCCAGAGAACCGACCTTGGTACTGAGCCACCCCTTTATCGCCATGTCTCATATATCTTGACAAATCCTTCTTGTTTAAGCCACATTGGTGCCTTTAAATAGTCCCAAGTTCAGTAAACAGATTTCAAGACAGGAGCTTGCCAACACGCCCCCAGATCTTCATACATAAGTGGACTACTGAAGAGGAATCAGACCCATCTGTAGAAATTTTCCCTGACCACCAACATCTCTTTCTTCCGAGCAGAACTCGGCCGGTCGAAGAGTGGCGACGTTGCGAGAAGTCGAGCTCTCGTCGCATACGCCATGGCAGATCCATGACCGGAGTTCTGGGGTCTCCTCGCGGGACTTTAGCTCATCGACTGCGATTCATACATTGTAATGTAGAACGATACAATCTCATCCCTATCCGTATACTCGCTGAGGATTATCCCAAGACGACGGCGTCGAAGAACAGCTACGCTATCGAGATAGCGAGCACCATCGAGCTGTCGGAGCTCATCACTCTACCCCAAGCTTCGAAAAACTGCCGAGCTTCACACTGCTACCTTGGCACGCAAGACCAACAATGGTGGACGTCGAGGGCTTGCAGACGTTGCTGTTTTTATAGGAAGACGAGAACAACACCATTAGAATCACGTAAGAAGTTAATGGGATCAGTATATCATCAAAAGCTTCTCTTTATTGTCTCATTTCATCATTTTAGAGTAGCCCATCTAAAGCCTCATTTTCAAACCCTGCTCTCCACCCCCCTCGTCCCGTTTATGAACGCCAATCCGGGCGCTATCCCACTGGCCCATCCAGGGCAGACAGCTGGGACAGACGACGGAAAGGACATGCAAAAGAATAGAAAGAAACGCCATTTGGTTCCATGTTGATATCAGAGAAAAGACAAAATGCGTCGACAAAAAACGGGGAGTGAGGGGAGGGGATCCCAAGCAGCAGTGGAAGGGGAAAGGGAGAAACATCCAAATGCGTACAATCAAAACAGAGTACAAAGGTCATTAGAGTTACATCCCCTCCCGTGTCGTACTCCAAACATGATGAGAGTAGTGTAACTCTCAGAAGTCGTGTTCGCCGTCCACCTTGCCCTTTTTCTTCCTCTGAAAAGAAGGGGCGGGTATAATGCTCACAAACTCAATGCCATCATAAAACATGCAAAATAAGGATGCGAAGATCGCTTCCGGAAAAAGGAATGCAGCCGCTCGCAGGATGCTTAGACACCTCTGAACATGCGGACGACGAGGAACCACATGGCGCCGATGAACTTGAAGGCTGATAGGCCTGCGACAGACCACAAGACGACAGACATGTAGATGTTGGCGCGGCCGTTCTCGTCCGTCGTGCTGTTGGAGTCAGGGCTAATGCGCTCCAAGCCTGCAGCGCTGAGGACGACGGCGGCCAGACCGAAGTTGGAAATCATCCAGGCAAGCACGACAACGGAACGAACGCCACGGTAGTAGTCCATCTGAGCCTCAGCCTTTTGCGCTTCCGTAGGAGCCTTGACCTCCGCCACGTACTTAGTGCCGAAGACACCCAATTCACGCTCGTACTGGGCGTTGAGGTCGGCCTCATCGGGAAGGTCTGTCTTTCCGGAGCCATCCTTGGTGCTGACGGTCGGTAGCTTCTCGGCCTTGTCATCACCCTTGGTACCCCAGGAAATGTCGTGAGTGTTGCAGAAGGCGTAGACGTTGAGAATGTTCGTGTACGTAGGCGTCAGGAGCATATACTGGACGAACGACGTGAACATGTGCCAGGGGTCGAACATGAGGATCGAAGCGATGAACCAGATACCGTAGGTCGACATGACGGAGATGATCAGGGTGTAGAAGACAGGATTCGAGAAGAGTTCGTTAATGCTGAAGCCGGTGGAATCGTTGACATCCTTCAGAATGGCCTTGACGGCAATGAAGACGGCTGCAAAGAGCAAGTAGCTGTGCAAGGTTAGTTGAAGCTCATTAAATGACGTCACCGTAAATACTCACATCATAATAAATGCCCAGAAGTAAACCATCGTGATGTAGTACGGCCCGGAACCCGATGGACGATTACCCATGGAAAGAACGAAACAAGTGATCAGAGAAATACCGTAGAGCCAAGTGAAGACGACGCCAAGAATCTCGCCTGTCCTACCAAGCAAGTCATCGTCGCCCAGACTCGTCGTAAGAATCTTGAAGACCAGGAAGAAGTTACCAATGGCAAACCAGGCGAAAATCATGTTGATCGTGTTGAAGACGAACTCGATGAAGAACATAATCTTGCGCAGGAAGGAGTGATCAGACCGGAAGAATTCGTAGAAGTGAGCAATAGCGTAGATGGCAGCGAAGAACGAACCGTTCAACCAACGACGACGCTGGAGAACCAATTCCGTGACGGTGTCGGGAACATCAGTCTCGCCAGTAGCGGACTTGACGTACTGCAGAATCCAATGGCAGTTGCGTTTCGTCACAAGCTCGAAGCAGAGAATACGATCTTCGGCGAGGTACATGTTGGACGTGAAGATACCGGCGCCCGCACCCTCGAGCTTCTCACCAGCGAAGTACTTCTCTAGCGGACCCTGACCGTTCTTGTCGTTTTGGAGAGCGACGTATCGGTAGGCGGAGAAAGCACCAGGCAAGACGGAAATGAAGCCGAAAGCGGATTCGAGGGGCTTGTCGAGAATGTTGCTCATCTTATACTCGAAGTTCTGGGTCGCAACAAGGGGGTTGAGAAGGTGTTTTCCGCCCGTACCCAACATAGCTTTGATCTCACCGCAAGCGCCGGCGCACATTGGCTCGAGGTCGAACGCCTTCCAGAGGTGGTAGATGGAGTTTCCACCTGGCTTGGTACCAGCGTCGATGAGCACGCAAATGTTGGGATCCAGGACACGGCCGAACGCTTGGAAGAACCATCTGTGTGAGTTGATCTTCTTCTGGTTCTTCTCCTTCAAGCAGAACAGCATCTGAACGGGCTGCTGCTTAGGAACCAAGGAGACAACGTCGTTCTTGATCGTCATGCCGACCTGGGTCGTGTATTCGTAAATGTGGGCGGTGACATCCTTGCTGTTGACCTGTTGCTTTGCGATACCCTCCTGGTACACGCCCATACCGGCCAGCAGTGCTCTTGTTCGCGGGTTGATCTTGGCACGACCGTCGCTGACGACACAGACGACAATCTTCTTCCAGGCATCCTTGCCCCACGTCTTGCTCTCCTTCCGATTGCACATGTACTCAATGTTCTTAAACACACCAATCATTGTCCGCGCGAACAGAATCTCGTCTTCGTTGTACATGGTAACGACGATGAAAAGTTCAGTATGTCTGGGCTTAGAGAACAGCTTCTGTCTGAGCGTGAAGTTGTCGTCGTAGAAGTAGTTGGGATCGCAAGTGGCGGCAGAGTAGCGCATGTGGGTGAACTCATCGCGCTCGCCGTGGGGAAGCTGGTTTAGAAGTCTTGGGGGCACGGGGCAGTCGAGAACCAAGTTTCCGCGGTACAGGAGGACCTGCTTGACCGTCTTCCACCTCTTGATGCCGCCGGCTGGCTGGGGAGTGGGAGCGTCTGAGTACGGGTCCTGAGGCGAGCTGTCTTGGTGAGCAAGCATCGGCCTGTGGTCATCATACTCGCTGTAGCCGGTGGGCTGGTCGTAGGGCATATTCGGGTCTTGAGGAGAGGGTTGGTATGGCTGGTTGTAGTAGGCATCGTGATGCGCCTCCGGGTTCACACCGTAGTCGCCCTGGTGGCTCCTTGAGTCGTAACCGCTCAAGTTATCGATTGAGTGCTAGAAGAGCTGTTAGCGCCGGCTCAATTGAGAAGCTTTGCCCGTGAAACTCACTGCTGCGTTAAGTTGAAGGTTGTCGCTTGGTGTGCCGAAGCGGCCAGGCGGGGGAAGGGGAGCATCGAGGTGTTGTTGCCTCGCGTAGGGGTCGTCCAGGTGTTGCTGAGACGGCTGGTTGGCGGCGTATTGGCCGTTGAACGGGTTGTCCTCCAGCTGGTAGCCATGTTGAAGAGGCTGGCCTGGCGAAGGCGTGCGGTGGTAACGAGGGTCCATGCGATCGTTGTAGTAATCGTCGTCTATGGTAAGAGCAGGTTAGGTTTGGTTGTCTTGAAGTTGCAAAACCTGGGGCAGTCGATATTAAGAAAGCAAAAAGCGGAAACTTGTAAAGATGAATACAAGAAGAAGCTTGCGCCACGCCAGTTGCGTACTCAAGTACAGTGGATGCGCCGGACAGACTGGTACTTTGACAAGAAGAGGCAATGAGATCAGACCCAGTTGGTTCAAGAGTCCGAGGCAGAGGCAAGTGAAAGTACTGTCCCCAGGGGCAAGTCTGGGTCTTTGTGGCTTTGGAGTGGTAGAAGTGGGATGAATGACGCCAAGGGACGATTCATAAGGGGACCAAGTTACTTGCCTAAACGATTATACGACATGGTTGCGATGGTATGGGGGGTCAATCAAAGGAACCAGTGTCTGATGTTTGTGACCAGGAGAGTCCGTGGGTGGGTATCGATATGGATCAGGTAGACAGTTCGTGTCCCCTCGGGGAGGGCGGGCAGGCGGGAGGTGTTTCTGGATGTTGGCTGTGCTGCGGGAGTGCCGTGCTGTGCAGGAGTTCAGGCGGCCAGTGAGAGGGCAAGGCGCAGGAGATGGGGACGAGGAAGAGACGACTGTCGCGCAAAGATGTCGATGTGGATGCAGGTGGAAGTGTGGATAGGTCGGTACCAAGAAGAAGCTGGAGGAGGACTGGAGGAGAGCAGGAGAGTGAGGTATGGTAAGGTGGTAGGATTGGCGTGTCGGGGAAATTCCCAAGGTATCTGTCGCGGAGCGCACAGTCGCAGGTCTGGCGCCGCAGTCTCGTCGGATCGGAAACCTGGGCGGCGGGCGGGCGGTTCGACTTCAGCTGAGAGAGCCCCTATTTTTCGACGCTGAATTTGTGAGCGAATGCCTTTTTTGGGTTTTTGGCTTGTGGTTGTTCCCCTCCTTCTGTTGTGCGTACAATACGAAGCGTGTGTCTGTCTTCGGGTGTCTGTGTGGGAGGCGGAGGGACTCAACTTACTGCTTCGACGATCCCAAGCTAGGTAATCAAACAAGGAGTCGACCTTGAGCAAGGAGCGGTTTGGCCGGGTCGGTGCTCAACTCAATGCGCCTGACGGGTTTCGGGGTGACGGGAAGGGGGGGAGGAGAGGGCAGAGAAGGGATGGGTTCGGTCGAAGGTTGGTGGAAGCAGACGCAGACGCAGACGCAGAGAGGGATCAGGGAGATTGAGGACGAGGACGACGCTGCGAGGTTGCCGGCTGGGTAGGGGCGGTTTTTTTGGTTTCAAGCTGATTGAGCCGTATGAGATTGTCTGCAGGCGAGTGGCCGGCGGGACTGCGACTAGGATGGGGCCATGGGGGGGACGAGGGATGGGACAGGGGTGCGATGGTTGTTGTGGGAGACGACTCTTTTTTTTTTTCCAGGTATCTGTAAGATGCTCCGCAGACTCTCCAGGTACCACTTCCTTCAGACTGTCTTCAGCCAGCAGGTCCACGGGTACTATTGAGGTAATCCATTGTTGCTATTGCTCCTTCCACCGCAGCAAGAGCCCGTCAGCCTTGGGCTGGAAATACCGCCTTGTTCCTTAGGTCCTTCCTGTCTCTCCTTCCCTTTCCCACTGGAAGTACTTTCCACCAAACTGGCAACCGCTGCTCGGTACAACAGCACCTGCCTCAGCCAGTCAGAAATTGGGGATGCGCCGTTGGGCTCTGCGCTACGCAGAATAAAGACGATTTGTCGTGTTTCAGGCCCGGCAGTGTGGCGCGGCGCCGATTTGATGGCTGACTGGTCCAAAGTACATCCTAAAGCAGGATACAGAGAGCACTGCGTGAGGTACACGAGGTACAATAGCATCCTGGTCACTATAAATCTTGATAATGCAAACAGAAGCCAATAAACGCTCATGATAAAATAAACTGCCGCGCATCACTTCTCGCTGCACATCCGAAAATTTACAAAAGCATGTCCATCAACATTGACTTCTGTCGGGGCCATGGCCGTCGAGGGGGCAGCACAGCAGGTGACGTCGCTGGGGGCCTCAATGGTGGGCATGTCAGGGTCCCCGAAAGACGGCGGATGCCAGTGCAGGGCAACGACGTGGACAGGGTGCAAGACAACACCTCACTGCTCCCCTCCCCTCCCTCCCACACACAACGGAGCCTGGAGGAGTGAGGGGAGGGGCGCAATCGCAAGAGAAAATGGACGGGCCACGCTTCGGTCCCTGCCACTCGTCGGCGTTGGCGACGACGTGGACGGGCAAGCAGCACATTGCATCTTCAACCCTCTTGTCTCAGTCTTCTGCCCTCTGTCTGGCCATCGCAGTCCGGCTAATGCCAACCGTCGGTCTGTGTTGTTCTGTCCTGCGCCCAAAAAAGAGAGGTCACAGGTCTGTCCGCCATGTCATCGGCGTCTGTCCACCAGCACGACCGTCCGCGCTGCCAGAACAAGCGTGACAAGCGACAGACAGCAGGGCATCACATCCTCGTGAAAATGACGAAATGCCCCCCCGTGTGTCCCGGCAGCCCGTCTGTATCGTCCGAAATCCAAAGATGCGACCCCATTACGGCATTACCTCACCTCAACACAGGTTGCACACAAGGAACAATGGAAGGAAAAAAAACTTGGAGTCCTCCCGTCGAATGATCGAATCAGCCAGCGGACGCGCAAGGTACCCGCGGGTCGATCGCAAGCAAGCAGATTCCAAGCAATCAACGAGTGCCGCAACAGCCGTTCGTTGCCTGCTCGATTGTTCGCGCGTTCCCGTGGTTGCATGGCCGCTGCTGGGATCCCGTTGTTTAGCTTGGGAGGGGCGACCACCAACTTTCCGAGCCATTGACAGGGTAACCGGCGTCTTCCAGTCGAGAGTGGACAGGGGGCAACAACAGAGAGAAGACGATGAGTGGTGAGATACCATAGTACACAGTACGTATCGCTGCGGGCTGCAGCTCTGCGGAGGCTTAACCTTTGCGTGTGTCCCCAAAAATAAAATTAAGAAAAGAGAGAGAGAGGCACCAAAGGTACTTCCAAAGCGATATGGCCACTCACAGCCCAGAGGGGTTGAACGCCACACTTGCTCCCCAGGTGACGACGCCTCCAAGCCTCCCCGCACACTACACATCTTCGGCTGCATCCCCACAATTCGAACCTGCTCAGCCTCCGTTCGCATTCAGGCCTCAACTCGCGTTTTGCTGTGTCCTGTCCGCGGACTCTGGAAACGTCACGTCAGTCTTCTCGGTCTTTGCAATGCAATGCGCGGAAGCACTTCACACCGAAAAGCGACCTTTGCCCTGAGTGGCCACCACACCGGTACGCTTCCCCGCCGTTGGGGCTGAATCGGCCTCAGCTACCCCTCCAAAACCTGCTGCGGTCACCTCAACCACATGGATATCACTCCCGTTGTTTTCCCGCATGCCTGCCTCTTCGCCTCGCATCGCTCAATACGATTCGCCACGGCTAGGTCTTCGGTTCCTGAAAAAACAAGAAGCAAGAAGCACGTTTCCTCTGATCATCCATATGCTTGTTTTGCCATCGTCAATCCTCCTCCTTCTCCCGAGGCATGTGGCCTCCCAACCCAACACCAAACGACATCAACTCTGCCGACCCTTGCTGCGCGTATGATCGTCACATGATGAAAGCGTGCCAAGGGCGGTGCCGCAAGCGAGGGGTGGCGGCGGCGGCCTGCCCGGAGTGAACCTGACTTCCCGCGTCAATGACAATAATCCGATGTCTGTCGACAATGCTTTGCGTTGCCCAAACTCAAAATAGTCTGAACTTTTTTTTTTTTCAGCAGCACAACGGTAGGGGGCACAACTGAGAAAAATTCTAGACTGGCCTGCGGCGGGCATCCGTCTTGTCCGCCGTCCCCCGTAAACCTTCTGCCGGTGCCAGGTCGGCCTTGGGTCTCTGCTCTCCCACAGCTGCGAACTGCATCGTTCCCGGCCTCAGCTTCTTTTGAGTTTATGCGGGCCAGCCCGAGGCAAGAAGTGCTCGTGGTATTTCGGCAGTGAAGAAAAGTATCGTGACGATTGTGCGGTTTAACGCGCCAAGTGCGTCGTTCTCAGCCGCCGATATAGCCAAGTTTTTTTTTCATCTGGTGATGCGGGAAGTCTTGCATTCCCGACGGGGCTGAGCTTCTCAGAGGTAAAAGATATGAATAGAGAGGCGATCAACGGTAGCTTGTGTCACTTAGATGGGAGCTATGCCCAACTGAGTCATGTTTCGGACGTCGTCAACTACATACAACCCTAGCTGCTAATGAAGTCATTGAAGTCATTTGCAACAACTCATGATAAAACAGATGCCTTTTGTTGCGAAGTCATGGTGAAGAAGCATACAACAGCGGGTTTAGGCTGCCTGGTTTGGCTCGACCTTGATGGCAGACCAGACCGTAAATTCTGTTCGGAGATGACTGGAAACATGTAGTTAAACATAAGCCTTAGACTGGCTTGACGCTCACAATTTCTATATACTACTTTCTCAAAGTTGCTGAGATCGTGATACTGCCCAAGAGAAGACTTGCCTACAGATTATCAACACAAAATGGACGCCTCAACAACAGCCCTAGGGATCAAGACCCGCATCCTCATCATATCAGACACCCACGGCGCAAGCTCCCTCCCGGGCTCCCAGCCCCTTCCACCCGTCGATGTAGCAATCCACTGCGGTGACCTCACCGAAGAATCCAAACTCGTCGAGTTCTAAAACACCATGACCCTCATGAAGAGCATCAACGCCCCCCTCAAGATCATGATAGCAGGGAACCACGACTGGACGCTCGACACCCCCATCTTCAAGTCCAAAATCGCAGAGATCCCCCCGCCCGTCGACATGGCCCTCGTCCACGCAGAATACGGCACCTTCAACCAGGCCCGCGACCTCCTCCTCTCCTTCTCCGCCACCGACATCACCTTCCTCCAGCACCAAGGCACGCACCGCCTCGCCCTGCCCAACGGCGCCCGCCTCACCCTCTACGCCAGCCCCTTCACGCCGTCCACCGAGGACTGGGCGTTCCAATACGACCCGCGCGAGGAGGCGTCACGCCAGTGGGATGTCAGCGACGACGTGGACGTCGTCGTCACCCACGGCCCACCGCACGGCGTGCTGGACCGCACCGCCGGCGGGGAGCGGATCGGCAGCGCCGGGCTCTTCGCGGCGGTACGACGGGCCAAGCCGCGCTTGCACTGCTTCGGGCACGTACATCGGGGCTGGGGCGCGAAGCTCGTGCGCTGGCGGCGCAGCGAGGAGGCCGCGTTGGCTGATGGCTTGGCGGCGGGCGAGGGACCTGGACCTTTTGCTGCGGCATCCCATTTTGCGGATATCGATCATGAAAAGAGCGTTGCTGTGGAAAGCCTGGCGGGCTTGACGCCGGGCAGGTTTGACGGGGCCGATGTCATTGCTGAGAAGAGGCGGACGATGGAGGAGGGGCTGCGGAGGGGATACTTTACCACATCGCACTGCGCCGACGACGAGCGCCCGTTGGTCCCCGGAGAAGATACACTGTTTGTGAATGCTGCTATCAAGGGAGATGGCGAGCATCCGCAGCACTTGCCGTGGATCGTCGACATTGAGCTTCCCAAGGCTTCATGAGAGGTCTCCCCAGTGTGGCGCAAACAATACAACGGTACAATGCTTAGTACATGGTACACCGGGGAAGGAAGGAAACAAAGACAAGCTAAGCTTGCTGTGGTAGTCGCCGGCAGGGGTGGCATGGATATCACTGCATGTCAAGAGCGTTTTTGACGAGCTCGCAAATCGGAAGCCAGAGCAAAGCGTTCGAAATTGGCGAGATTAAGAAGGAGGTTTCGCGGCCGCTGGGGACGAGGCCCACTGCAATCACGCGGGAGAAACGGGGGAAAACGGCCTAGCGGTAATTTTTTGCGACGATATCACGATCATCAAACATGACACACGGCTTTAAAATTGAGTGAGGAGAAAATTGTGGTGCAATTTACGAGTCGAAAGAAGAAAGGACTGCGCTTGTGAGAAGTTTGAATGCGAGTAAGTCGGCCTCACATCCCTAACGCGGGTTTGTCATCCGTTGGACGACAGGCAGTGTTTGATGATGATGTCTCTCGAGACTTCCCAACACAATAGGCAGCTCGCTGTCAAACATCCATTCTCATTTCTTTCATCAAACAAATGAGAGGGTGGATTGCAATGCGCAAGGACCACACAGGGTCTGCTAGGGGTCCCGCTCTTCTACCTTATCTGCCCTAAGACGTCTTGAGATCGATTCCTTTGCATGATCTCCGTCTAGGGTCGCGCTGTTGTCCCACCCTACTGTAATTGCGCTTGCAGGGCACAAAGTGCTAGAATAATGCTTCATAAAACTGATGCATCGGTTGACTGTGTCACGGACTTCCGTTAGAGACCCGCGCTTCGGAGCATTTCTCCGGAATATGGGGCCGGTGCCGGTTCGGGATAGTCAGTCCCGTCGCCGACGACTCTGGGGTAAGTTGGCACGGAAGGGATAGGATGCCTCTGAAATGGAAAGAACCACGGCGTTTACTTACAGTGAAAAGTTGCTCCATAAGGCAGGGACGGCATCTGCAGCAAGTACTGTGAGAATGCCAGGAAAGAGCTGAGCGTCTTCTCTGTCTTCTGTGAATCAAGGCTACTTTCAGAAGGCAATGGAGTGCTGCATCATGCCAGATATGGACGAAGTCGTCTTCATCTCCGCCGCATGTTGTGTCCATTGTCACCCATATCATTTATTATGAGCCATCATCATCCTCCACCATCGATCATGACACAAAATACCCCCGAATCATCCCCAGGAAAGCAGTATTGCGTGATGATGACATGCTCAGTAATCGTAACTTTGAATACGAAGGCTTCGAGAAAAACGACACGCCTCAAAGTTCCGGCTCGACGACCGTCGTGCCAGACGTGACACTCACGTCCCCGACAGGCGAATCTCAACAACCCGTCACGTCAGCATCATCCAGATCTAGCGGCAGTTGAAGTTCAACTCAGCTCCTAATACTTGGTGAAAAGTTTGGCTTGTGGACGACCAGATCCGACCTTCCATAGCTTGGGAGTTCTCGAGAAATGATTACCGAGTTAACTTCTGAGAAAAGGGACGAAGAGATGACTGTAAGAACGGGCAAATTATCAGGGGCATCAGAGACAGTGAATTACCTACCCCGAAAGCCATGATCATGCCGGAACGAAGACATACAGTAGGGCACATTCTATGTTTCTTTACGCCATCGATCTTGTCACTACGCTGGGATGTAGGCGCTAGATAGTGTTCCACGGTTTCCAACATTCTGTGTATCTCCTATCTTCGAACGCATGTTGTCTGGGGTCCAGCCGAAAACGGCGTTTTGCTCTCACGTCATCTGTCACTCGTTAGTTTGATGCTACCGCTTTATCAAGAGCTGTTCGAGCATACCAAACAATTCTGACATCACCTGGGTTGGGCACTGATAGGTACGAGCTACTAACACTGGTGGGTACTTCCCTGCAATGAAGAGCAGCCTCGGCGTCAGTTCTGTTTCGAAGAGTTCTCCCAACTTTTGGACTGCCTCTGCCGTCATATGCTCACGCAGCCTTGCCTTGAAAGTCTCCCGCTGCTCCAAAAGTTGCCTTGTGGATTCGTCATCGACAGAGCCAGTGGCCGGGGCCGCGGGAGAGCCTGGTTTCGGAGGAGAGCTTGCAGGTACCGCAGGGATATTCAACTTGGAACTTTGAGCATTGCCTCGCAACGTGGTACTGTTGTCTCTTTTGAAGTCCGTTTTGCCAGTTGCTTCGATTTCCTTCTCATCGATCTTGTCAACATGGACGTTCTCCGTGTTGACAGTACTCGCGGCCTCGTCGTCCTCGCCAGCCTTGCTTCCCTCTGGCTACAGGGCAGATGTCTCTTGTTCGTCAAGCAACTGCTTGAGAGAGACTCAAATCTGCGGTCCGTTTGTTCTTAGACTTTCCCTTGTTTCTGTCGGACCTATCGTTGCTCTTGTTCCTATCGTTAATTATCAGCGTCGTCATCCTCTGCCGTCGTCCCCTATTGTCGCTGTCGTCCACCATCGTCACCATCATTCATCACCAGTTCCGGACCTCATGGGACACAGGGGATGCCCAGTATCGTTCCCCTCGGCACACACCTGGACGTGGATCACGACGACCCGCAAAGGCGACTACTACGCTCCCCGCCGTCCAAATAGATGCGGTTGATCTCTCTGTGTGTAGTTCCATGCTGATGACATGTGTCGGGTGCGATTTGCAAGCAAATCCTGAACTAGTCATGGCAACACGGGGAAAAGTCAACTGCGCAGTATCAATTCGATTCAACAACCACCATCCCAGATGGCCGTGGCGCGGCATCCCATTACGACCCTTCCTAATAGTACATCCTGTTTGTCATGACCAGGAGTAATTGAACAACGAAAGTGCAAGTGACCTGTGAAAAAAGTGCAGCTTTTCCTCCCCACCTTCCTGACAGCGCCTATCTTTTTGAAAATGATTCCCACAAAGTGGCCAAACTCCCTTAGTCTGACTCCTCATCACTGGTAGCCTCAATGTTAGCCTTGCTAGACTTGGACTTCTTCTCCTTGGACACGGCCTTGGAAGACTCCTCGGCGCCCGGGGCGGCGCCGTCCTCGGCAGCACCGCCGACGTCGTGGCCCATGGCGCGCAGCTTCGCGTTGATGGCGGGGACGGCCTTGAGGAGGGCCTCGTACTGCGGGACCGACAGGGAGATACCCTTCTTTCCGGGCAGCATGTTGCCGTCCTTTTCGTAGAACTCGCGGATGTTGATGAGAGTTGCCTTGTTGAATTGGGAGACACCCACGCGGCGCTTGCCGGAGAGCTTTGAGAGGAGTGTGTTAGTGGTGGCTTGGTCTCAACATGTCAGTTTCCCAGTAAGCGAACACTTACATCCCAGTACGGGTCTCCGTTGTTGTCTTTGCCGCTGCCGAGATCTTCGGACTTGGAGGTCTTGGTCTTCTTGACGGGCTTGTCGTCGTCAGAGTCGCTGGGCGCGTCGCGCTTTGCGCTGCGTTTGGAACCCTTGGTGAAAGGCATGGCTGAGTCGCGGTTGCAGGATAAAACGGATATGACGGTTTGGGGTAATAGAATGAGTGTGCGTCTTGGGTTTGAGAGCAGGCTGATTGGCGCGAGAATCGCAAAGGAGAGTGGATTGCGACAACACCAAAGGATTGGGTGAGATTGACGCTGTGAATGAGACGGCAGTCACGACAGACGCGTTGCTAAAGTGGTTCCGGCGCGACTTCCGCGCATGACGTCGGACCCCCACGCACGCCAGCACAGGTGCGCGAGCACGTGAGCGGCTTATCTTATCTGAGATATCGATACCCGGACATTAGGCAGGTATCCACTTGCTTGGCTTCCGGGATCGAGGCCGAAGAAATGTCACAATGAGCCAGCCCGGCGCCGCTGTGCGACCTTGATTTTGATGTGGCTCCTTGGAAAGACGCGATGGGACTGTGGAAGACCGGGATGGATGCACCAACATCACATGGGAAATGATTCAATGTGACCCTACGCGCGCAGCTGCATGCATACCTAGCATTTTAGCGATACCAATGAGCAAAAAAGTAATCGAGAAAATTTTGAAATTATTGTCCATCTCATTGTGTTGTTGCAGCTGCAGACTGGCTGCAAGGGACGCCCTTCTAATCGTCTCACGTCCAGCGCCCACGAGACGGCCCCTGACCCAGAGTCGTCTTGAGATCTGTTTCAACCCCAAATTCCGTGGTGCAACTGCGCCGCCTTCTGTTCCCCAGTATTCTCTCCTATTTTCTGTAGTGTCATCCGGGGAAGAATGGGCTACACAGCATGCTTTTTGCCTGTGCTCGGACAGCCGGTAGCATCCCCTTTCTTGCTTGCCCCATCCCTTGACTGATCATAGCCGGATTCAATCTAGAGGTGGAATCAGAGTGGAAAGACCAGCAAGACACCGCCCAGCGGAAGAAACCCACGATTCCCAACGTACGGGGATTTTTTCTTGCCGGGAGCCGCAGGGGGTGCTGGCACGTCACTAAAATTAGGAGCTTCTGGACCTCCCTCCAGACTGATGGACAGTGGACACACGAGCCAATGTTCCTGTTCTGGTTGGTGCTAATCTGCCCCCAACTCCACTGGCGCAGCTGGCCCTCGTTGACGACGGCAGACTCGACGTCAACACATTTCCCCAATCCCATTTTCGCGCTTAGGCCCCCCCTAAAACGAGATCTGATTCTTGTTGGAGCAACCGTCCACGCCTCGCTTTCCCTCTCGAAACACTGCCACGAAACCCGTACTTACCTGTGCTTGCACTGGTGGCTGACTTGCAGAAAAAAGAACACGGCCAACCTGTCCTTTTTTTGAGCTTGCACTTACAGCTCTTTCGTCCGTACCATCGAACCACTTACTGCAAGCTTGCCGATTTGTTTTTATTTTTTTCATTATACCGCCAAGCAGCTCACCACCACCACTCCCGCCTGGCTGCTCGACTCGCTCAATGCACGCTTTGCCCTTTGATTCCAGCATCAGGGATGTGAGAGGATAGGGCCTCAGACGAATTCAATAGATCGACGAACTAAGCAAAACATGGACTCGACACCCGCCGCCGAAGTGCATCCACCCGGCGGAGCTCCCGTTGCTGAGAAGGGACAGTCCGCTCCCGAGACAACCTCACCAACCCTCCCTGTGATCGAGAAGCCCGCGATCCAAGAACCCACCACCGAAGAGAAGCCCACGATCCCCGCCGAGCCGTCTGCAACGAGTGCGCCGGTACCGAGCGCAGCGAACCCGCCCAAGCCGGAGGACGACGACGATGCGGTGACCAAGGTGCTCCGGTTCCTGTCGACTGCGACACCAGAAACACTCGGCGCCATTGCTGTTGGCCTTGCGGCTTCCACCTACTTTGTCCTCGGCAGGGCTGGACTCGTGCTCATTGGCGCATTCGGCGGCGTCGTGACATTCATCGCATACGAGGAGCGCCATCCAGAAGTCTCCCGGGCTGTCCGGGGTGAGAAGGGCCTCGATGTCTTGGAACGACTGTCCATCACGAGGGTCGCTGTGCCGCCCAGTGACGATGCGGAAGAGGAAGAGAAACAGATCCAAGGCTTCGACGACTTCCAGCCTGAGACGCGCGAGGCGTTGACCGGTCTGGTGGACGCCGTCATTCGCGACTACGTCAAGTGGTGGTACTCGCCCATCCTGCCATCCGATCGCTCTTTCCCGCTGTCCTGCCGGAAGCTCCTCAACTCCTTCCTTCTCCGCGTTTCAAACCAGCTATACCGCAAGCGACCCGCCGACTCGTTCCTCGATTTCATGACGAACGCTTCGTCCATGTTCATTGTGTTCCTGTCCGAGCTGTCCTCCGCCTTTACCGAGCAGCACAACGCTCCCGGCGCATCCGCCGCGGACGTCGTCTCCAAGTACCTCGAGGAGAACCCAAACTCCAACCTGGCCAATCTCATGAACCACCCGCAGCAAGCCGCCAAGTTCCGCAATGTGGCAGACGACCTGCTCGGGTACCTCGATCGCTCAGCCTACAACTGCGACCCCGCGCGGGTGTTCCTGCGAGAAATTCTAGCCGGTGTAATACTGGAGATGACTCTGCAGTCGTGCTCGAAGCCGGAGTGGATCAACGGCTGGATCGTCTACCTGCTAGAGGCCGGTGAGCCCGACTTCAGCCAGGCCATCGATGTAGGCATGAAGACGGGGCCTGATGCTGCCGCGGACGCCGCGACAGCTGCAGCCAACAACGCATTTGTTGATATTGATGGAAACCTCGGCAACATTGCGCTGACCAAGGGAAACCGGAGCTCCCTGGATATGGAACGCGCGCGCCAGAAGGGGTCTACGGCGCATAAGAAGCAACTCAGCAAGGCCGATGAAGAGATGGAAGAAGCCATGGAGGAAATGAAGCGCATGAACGCCCTGATCGCGGAGGAGGAATCCAAAAGAAAGTCCCGCCAGAGCATCGGAGCAGACCCGTCAGTGCAAATCCCCGAGGGCAAGATTGTTTCCTCACCAGGGGAACTGTCTCCTAGATCACAGTCTTCGGCAGAGAAGCCTTCAACACACACATCTAACGCTTCCCACGGATCAAACAAGGACGGTAGCCTGCACTCGCCCATCACGCCAAAGTCGAGTGTGGAGGAGCCAAGCAGGAACCCGTCGCCGAAACACGCCGCCAATGGAAGTGTATCATCTCAGTTCACCAGCTTCGACCAGATCGTGCCTCCCGGGAGGGAGGATCCGGATTCATCTGATGAAGGCCCTCGCAAGCCTTCCTTGACGCTGCACAATGCCACCGTCATCCTCCATGACGACATCGACAACGAAAAAGCTCGGATCCGAACGAAGCCTACTTGGGACTATCTCGTCCAGATTGAGCCATCATCGCACCACTATTCTGGCTGGATGATTGTCAGACGCTACTCCGATTTCGAGACTTTGCACGAGATCTTGAGGCGAATCGCCACAATTTCTGGCGCGACGGCTTTCACGGAGCAGCATGCGGAGCTTCCCAACTGGAAGTCTCATACCAGAGCTTCCCTGCGTGGCGAGTTGGAGCGATACGTGAAGGATGCCTGTTGGTACCAGTCACTCGCCGAGAGCGAAGGAATGAAGCGCTTCCTGGAGAAGGACAATGGCCTCGGCCATGGGCACAGCAACTCCAAGTCAGGTCTGGCATGGGACACTGTCGGCAAGAACATGCTGGATGTTCTGACGATGGGCCCCAAGGGTGTTGCTGAGGGAGGAAAGGCTGTTTTTGGTGGTGTGACGGGTGTGTTCAGCAACATCGGATTAGGCGCAAGAAAGAACACGGCTTCGTCATTGTCAGAGATTCAGACGAGCCAGATCCAGACGAACAACCGTTGGTCGACCGGCACTCCACCCAGGATGGACAGCACCACCAGCCTGAACGCAGCCCTCACTTCGCCCATAGGCAATGGACCTCGGAAGCCTCGGGACAGTCTGGACAGTCAAAGATCGTCGATTGTCTCAACTCAGCCCGGCAAGGTCGCCCCTATGGAAAGGAGACCCAGCTTCGACCCTCGAGGTGATTCAGAGGCGGACAGCTTGAAGCCTCGATCTGACCGATGGGAGCGGAACACGCCGAGCGCCACGGGTAGTCGCGAACATAGTAGAGCTTCTAGCCTAGCGCCGCTGCAATCTCCTCCTCTGCGATCGCCGTCGTCGACGAGTCTAGATGTTATGCACATCCAGCATCTCCCACCACCCCCTGACGAGATGCCAGAGGACTGGGAGTCGCCCACTCACGGTGACATGCAGTCGAGGATGAACGAGACAAGCCAGCCGCGCAACAGCACCGGTGCTGCCTCGCCAGGAACCAAGAAGGAGCCAAAACCTGCGCGACAGCATTCTCCGCTGTCGGAGCAGGAAACAAACGTAGCAGTAGAGCTGGTCTTCGCCATTATCAATGAGATGTACACGCTCTCATCGGCCTGGAACATTCGCCGAACACTGCTGGCCGCCGCCAAGTCCTTCCTCCTCCGCCCTGGCAACCCTTCCCTGATTTCCATCCAGCAGATGATGCAGGAGTCGGTCATTGACGCCAACACAAGCGACGCGGGGCTGGCCTACCACCTGCGCACGCTGCGGGAGAATACGATGCCGACAGACGAAGAACGCGCGGCTTGGCCCGCCGAGATGACGGACGAAGAGAAGGAGAAGCTGCGCATCAAGGCACGCAACCTACTGATTAGACGGGGTGTTCCGGCTGCTTTGTCGGGCGTCATGGGACAGGCTGCCACAACGGACGCGCTCGGGCGCATCTTCGACAGCCTCCAAGTCGAGGAGGTGGCGCGCGGGTTTATCTTCGGCATGATGCTTCAGGCTGTCAGGGTCGTTACCCATTAATTTATTGCCGTCGCGGTGGCGGTGTGTTGCGCCGGGCGCGGGAGGATAGGAAGCATTTGAAATGTACCAACAACAAAACAGCACGGAAGCGAGCAGCGACTCAGACGGCACGTGTAAGATTAGACGACCATTCAAAGAAACATGATGGGAAACGAAACCGGATGCTGGGCAAACCTGGCAGGATTGGGGACGAGAACAAGACTACATACATACATATACTTAATAATTGACGGACATATCACATGGACATAAGCTGCTGCTTTTGATTCGCGATGGAACATGGCGACACTATTGAAGCTCGACTGCCCGTTTTACATACAGATTTAATCAGCCAGTATGCTGTCGACTTCCTCTTGGCCACACGCTGAGGATTTCATTCCCTGCTGCACCAACACAGTTGTGCGTTCAGACGAACCAACTCTCAACATCGAATGACATCCCGTCCCTCATCTAGTGGAGCTCCACGGCTTTTAAGGTCTTGGGTTGCCTTAACAGCACCGTTATTAGTGGATGAAGACAGGACCCTCCTCACGGAAACGATGGCGTAGGGCGGGGTAGTTCGCGCTAGAGGTGGGGTGCGGAGCTCAATCAGAGAGCTATTGGTTCTTATCTTATCATCCCCCCAAACGCCGTCCTCCTCGCCGTCTAGGCCGATGATACCATCATTTGTCATCGAACAGCTCCTCTCTTGTTCATTACCGTCTTCTCGGGTTTGGTTATTAGTCGTCGTTTCCCCAGTGACTTCTCGCTGGCTCTGGTGCTCAATTGGACATAAAGAACAAAAGACACCGAATGAGCTAATATCAGAACCTCGACCTCCCCCAGAGTACTGATTAACACGGGAACCCCGCATCGAATACATCACGACATCACACCCCAAACCACCTCGGCGACAATGGCGGCAGCTGAAGCAGCGACACAATCCCAGCCGGACCGCGGCATCCGCATCGCCATCGACCGCGGCGGCACCTTCACCGACTGCGTCGGCGAGCTCGCGGGCCGCGAGACCATCATCAAGCTGCTCTCCGAGGACCCGTCCAACTACGACGACGCGCCGCTCGAAGGCATCCGGCGCATCATGTCGCACTTCCTGGGCCGCGAGATCCCGCGCGGGGAGCCGCTCGACACAGCCAAGATCGAATCGATCCGCATGGGCACGACGGTCGCGACGAACGCGCTGCTGGAGCGCAAGGGCGAGAAGATCGCGCTGGTCGTCACGGAAGGGTTCAGGGACTGTCTGGCGATCGGGAACCAGAGCCGGCCCAAGATTTTCGACCTGGCGATCCGGAAGCCGGATGTGTTGTACGAGACGGTCGTGGAGGTGGAGGAGCGGGTGACGTTGGAGGACTATGCGGAGGATCCGGCGAGGACGGTGACGGAGGTTGAGGTGAAGGCGGGGACAGCGGAGGCTGGAAAGGCGGAGGTGGTGAGGGGGACGAGCGGGGAGGCTGTGAGGATACTGAGGAGGCCTGAGGAGGAGGGGGTGAGGAGGCAGTTGCAGGAGGTGTATGACCAAGGGATCCACAGCGTGGCGGTTTGTCTGATGCATGGGTATACGTTTCCTGACCACGAGGCATTGGTGGGGAGGATCGCGAGGGAGATTGGGTTCAAGCACATCTCGCTCAGCCACGAGTTGATGCCGATGATCAAGTTGGTCTCACGGGCTACGTCGGTCTGTGCTGACGCGTACCTCACACCGGCGATAAAGAAATACATTTCCGGCTTCCAGGCTGGCTTCGAGGGTGGTTTGGGAACGAGGAGTGTGCAGAAAGAGGAAGGGGCGAGAGGTGCGAGATGTGAGTTCATGCAGAGTGACGGCGGCCTGGTGGACGTGGAGAACTTCACTGGATTGAAGGCCATTTTGTCCGGACCGGCGGGCGGCGTCGTCGGGTATGCGATCACGTCGTACGACGAAGAGACCAAGGTTCCTGTGATTGGGTTCGATATGGGCGGTACCAGCACGGATGTGTCGAGATTTGGCGAGGGAAGGTATGAGCACGTCTTCGAAACGACCACTGCTGGAGTCACCATCCAGTCGCCGCAACTGGACATCAACACTGTAGCGGCGGGAGGCGGCTCGATGCTGTTCTGGAAGAACGGTTTGTTTGTCGTCGGACCGGAATCAGCCGGAGCGCATCCGGGCCCGGCATGTTATCGTAAGGGAGGCCCGGCGACCGTCACCGACGCAAACCTTTACCTAGGGCGCCTGCTGCCCGAGTTCTTCCCCAAGATCTTTGGCGAAAACGAGGACCAGGGGCTCGACCCCGAGGCCAGCAAGAAGGTCCTTCAAGAACTGGCGGACCAGGTAAACAAGGAGACCGGCAAGAACATGAGCGTCGACGAGGTGGCGTACGGGTTCCTGACTGTGGCCAACGAGACCATGACGCGCCCTATCCGGTCCATCACGGAAGCCAAAGGCCACGACTCCTCCAAGCACCGGCTGGCAACCTTCGGTGGCGCCGGCGGGCAGCACGCCGTCGCCATCGCCGAGGCGCTGGGCATCAAGCAGATCCTCATCCACCGGTACTCTTCAGTGCTGTCGGCGTACGGGATGGCTCTGGCCGACGTCGTCGACGAGAGGCAGGAGCCCGACTCCAAGGTGTGGGAGTTCCCCGGCAAGGCAGCCGACGAGCTAAAGAGCAAGATGGAAAAGCTTAAAGAGAAGTCGCGCGAGGCGCTCAAGGCGCAGGGGTTCGAGGACAAGGAAATTGTGTTTGAGGAGTACCTCAATATGAGGTACCGCGGGACGGAGTCTGCGCTGATGATTATCAAGCCCGAGGGCAGCAAGGACGGCGACGAGTGGGACTATGGAACGGCGTTCGTCCGCCAGCACCGCTACGAGTTCGGGTTTACCTTGGACGAGCGCGACATCATCGTCGACGACGTGCGTGTGAGGGGCATCGGCAAGAGCTTCCGGCATTCCGAGAAGACTGTGGATCAACAGTTGAAGGTGCTTGAGCGGAAGGATGTTGAGGTCAGCAAGGCGATGGACCGGCAAAAGGTGTACTTCGAGGAGGGACGGCTGGATACGCCTGTCTACAAGCTCGAGGATCTCAGTACAGGCGAGACTATCAAGGGGCCTGCCATGCTGGCGGACGGAACACAAACAATTGTAGTGACGCCGAAAGCTACGGCTCTGATCCTCGATACACATGTTGTTATTGATATTGAGAAGGAAGGCTCAAAGGATGATGGGTAAGATCCCCTTTTCTTTTCTCTCTAATACGCTTTTTTCATACCCATCGCCGACGGTGAAGACAAAGCTCCAAGACAGCAGAACTGACGAATGTATAGAGCTGCTAAGAAGGACGGCGAACGAGACGTCGACCCCATTATGCTTAGTATCTTTGGTCATCGTTTCATGGCCATCGCGGAGCAAATGGGACGTGCCCTCCAAAAGACCAGTGTCAGTACAAATGTCAAGGAGCGCCTCGACTTCTCCTGTGCCATATTTGACGCAAGTGGAGGGCTCGTGGCTAACGCGCCGCATCTTCCCGTTCATCTCGGCTCCATGTCAACCTGCGTGAAGCGCCAAGCCGAGATCTGGAAGGGTGACCTGAAAAAGGGGGACGTCATCATCTCTAACCACCCATCCTACGGCGGCACCCACTTGCCAGACATCACGCTCGTGATGCCTGCTTTCAACGAGAAGGGCGACAAAATCCTGTTCTACGCTGCTTCCAGGGCTCATCACGCCGACATTGGGGGTATCACGGCCGGCAGCATGCCGCCGCATTCTAAAGAGCTCTACCAGGAAGGCGCGGCGATTAAGAGCGAAAAGCTAGTCAGCGAAGGCCGCTTCGACGAAAAGCGCGTCACGGAGCTGTTGTACAACGAGCCCGCCCAGTACCCCGGCTGCAGCGGTACGCGCTGCTTGGCGGATAACATCAACGACCTCAGGGCGCAGGTCTCGGCTAATCAGAAGGGCATCGCTCTTATCGAGGGGCTTATTGAGGAGTACGGCGAGGAGACGGTGCAGTTTTACATGGTTAACATCCAGAACAACGCTGAGCTCTGCGTGAGAACGCTGTTGAAGCAGGTCAGCAAGCGCTTCGAGGGGCGTGATCTGCAGGCTGTTGATTTTATGGATGACGGCAGCCCCATCAGGCTCAAGGTCACGATTGATGCGGATAAGGGCGAGGCAGTTTTTGATTTCGAGGGGACCGGACCGGAGGTGTACGGAAACGTGAACGCCCCCGAAGCCGTGACGTACAGCGCCATTATTTACTGCCTCAGATGTCTCATCTCCGAAGACATTCCCCTGAACCAGGGTTGCCTGAAGCCGATTAACGTCAAGATTCCGCCCAAGTCGCTTCTCTCGCCTTCGGATGGGGCTGCCGTGGTGGGAGGGAATGTGCTTACGAGCCAGCGCGTCACGGATGTCATCTTCAAGGCCTTCCAGGCATGTGCTGCCAGCCAGGGCGACTGCAACAACCTTACGTTTGGTTTCGGTGGTAACCTGACGGGCCAGAAGGAGGTCAAGGGCTTTGGGTACTACGAGACCATCGCGGGTGGCAGCGGTGCTGGGCCCACGTGGGAGGGCACGAGTGGAGTACATACACACATGACCAACACGCGCATCACGGACTCGGAGGTGTTTGAGAGGAGATATCCCGTTATTTTGAGGGAATTTTCACTGAGGAAGGGTAGTGGTGGAGACGGGCAGCATCGGGGAGGTGACGGTGTTATTAGGGATATTGAGTTCCGCATCCCGGTGCAGGTGTCTATCCTAAGTGAACGGAGGGTCTACCGGCCGTACGGTCTTGCGGGCGGAGAGGACGGCGAGGCAGGGCTGAATGTGTGGGTTAGAAAGGTCGAGAAGGGCAGCTGGGAGAAGAGTCTCAAGAGGCTGAAGGGGGCTGGCCAACAGGACCAGGAGGAGGTGGAGTATGAGGAGAGAAGGTTCAATCTGGGCGCCAAGAACAGCGCGCCCATGAAGCCTGGGGAGAGGATCATTGTGAACACGCCTGGCGGTGGTGGATGGGGCAAGGTCGGGGAGGCTAAGGGAGTCAAGGCAGGAAGGGATCATACAGAAGCCTGGAGGAAGGGCAGCCATGCCAATCGGGAGGATATGGCTTTGCAGGTGTAGATGGGATGGCAGACGACATGTTTCTAGATGCGAGACTTTAGAAAAGAGCGGTTGGTGGGCTCATATGAACATGGGCTTGTTTGCTTTGGGAGGTGGGTTCAATCATATGCATTTTCCACTCTGGCAAAGTTGAACCCCGCGAAATCCGCTCGGCGATTGGAATACCATATCCAGAAAATCCGGTGGGAGGTTTTCCGCTAGGAATCCGACAGCTGCTCAGAATTACCATGACGAGCGCCACCCTGTTGGAAAGTTATGAGACGCAAGAAGCCACTTCTTCGATGGGATACCGGATGGCGAACCTTGTTAACGTCGATGAAGGAGGGGGCGTGGATGGAGAAATCCCCTGATTTGGGGACCGTAGAGTTTGGCACAGGACGGGACGTTGATCTTGACCCATATACATTCGCGGGAGAGGTGCAGCGAGAGGGCTGGATGATGCCTAGAGGAAGTGTAATTTGTTCGATCGCGGGAAACGATTGGTATGTGGGGTAGGTTGGTTTGGTTCCTGATATATTGGTTCGTATCGGGAATGGTCGCGATGGCGAGGATGAGGTGGCGGCGCTTGATCCTAGCTTTCACCATCGAGATCATGAGCTTGGAGAGGTTGTCACTCCACAACTGTATATTAAGCTGTCGTACAGATAGTTTCCGACGTCAACTATGGATTGATTTGGCGTTATGCCAGCAAGGACTCGGCATAAGCAGCCTCTGCGTGGAAGACCCGGGGGATTCGCCCGGGGTTTCGCCGCCCTCCAGAGAAATATGGCTCCACTCCTCCGAGTCCCGATCCGGCCCCTTCCCGCCTTCGCGGCCGTCTTCCACATTAGGCAAGTTACCGTAGCCAATGGCTTTGAACTCTCGCTCATATTCAGGGTGCCGAGACATCTCACCCAGCAGGTTTGTACCGCTGAGGACGACTTCGTAATGGTCGTCGATTCGGCTTCCGACGCCATGAATGATGCCAACTGAGCGGTGAATGTAAGCAAAGGTATCCAGTAGAAGGGATTCAGTGCTAATGACTCACAAAGACTGCAGTATAGGTACTTGGATATCACAGGAGCCCATGGCAACACTGCTATGATCTGACCAAACGTCCATTTATCCCTGTCCCATACTGAACCTCCCATCTCGTTGAGGATCGCTGTTGCGTTTCTCATGAGGAGTGACGCTAGCAGGACGTTTGACACGAACCATATAGCACACCAGATGACCGAACCGAACCGCAGGAGCGAGATGAGAACAGGAAGCTTGCCTGGCCAGTATTCCAGTTTCGACCCCAGGCTCCGCCGCAGACGAGTGATGTGTCCTAGTTGGTCAATTGACAAGACGACTGTGCTGAACAAGAAGCTGATGAAGTAGTCCGAACCACCCCGGTCTTCGTCCCGAAATGCATCTCTGAAAGCAGATGATCCGTTGTTGTAGCACGTCTGCATGATGTTTCGGCTCCGATTGCCGCACTTGGCTATCGCGCCCAGCGTGATTGGCGCTTCTGAGCCCAGGTTTCGAATCACCATGCCCAGAACGCCGACGGCGAAGGAGAGAAAGAACATGTACCACCATCTCAGCCCTTTTCGTTGCAGTTCCGACTGCATGAGAAGGACGACAAGCGTGTTTCCCGCCGAGTAGATTCGAGCCGCTCGCCAGTCAATGCGGATGACGGGGACCTGGTCGGTCATGAACATGACGATCGTAGTCAGCTGCACTGCTAAGGTGAAGAACGCTTGGGCTTCTTGGAAGTCAATGATGGATGAGTATAAAGCCACGGCAAATCTGGAGGCTCGCAGTCGCTCCATCAGATACACCGTGGTAGAGCAGTGTTGCTGTTCGTTGCCTCTCCTGAACCGCCCTAGTGCAGCTACCGCCTTTACAGGCATGGAGTAGATTGGATCTCGAGGTATCAGTAAAGACAAAATGAAGAACCATAAGAGCAATCCTGTTTGAATTATGTAGGAAACTGTGACCTGTAATATCATTAGATAAAGACCTTGCCCAGAAGCCATGTACTTACACCGGGCCCGGCTATATCAGCTTCCGGTGACCTCACCTGGGAGCATAGAGGCTTCAAATAGTCCAGAGTATCATTGAGATTCTCGTCGACCTCGAATAATTTGTGATAGCTGGTGGTGTTCAGCGCCCAGGTACCAAACTCAGTTTCCGGTAGATGCCCATATGTTGTTGTCTCGCTGGGCTCTGAGGCGCCCACACAGCTGAGGATACGCTGGAAAGTTCCAAGACCGTCGAACGAGGCCAAATCTCCAAACTTGAGAATGTTGTCTGCTTCAGTTGCGGATGCAGGATCTAAAGTATAATTGTAGTTTTGTATTAACAGGGCTGACACCGCTAAAGCAGCGCAGTCGTAAATGCCTAGGGGATTGTCGAAAAGAGAGGATTGGCATGTTGAGATAATTGACTGCGGTACATTTGAATCGTACTCAACGGCACTGTAACGTCTGCAAAATCTGAAGAGTAAAGGTGGTTGATCATTTCAGGCCAAGTGTGCCCCGGCGTAGAGTTGGATACAGTTCGAAGCCCGTGTAGGCTCATTCGAAGCGTACGATTCGAGACCATTTTGGAGACTAGAGACTACCGAAAGCTCTGGAGATCAGGAAGGGAAGAACGGATTCATTGTATTCTACGACTTATAAAGCTGCTACGAGGCTACTATTTCGATCTCAATTAAATCGCTGTGCCGCAGTCACGCGTCGGTTATTCTAGTCCCAGTGGACTGTAACCTCGCTGCCTACCTGCTTGCATTGGCCCCCACGCCAATCAGCTCACATATTGCTTGTACGTCTCCAAGGGGCCTGGTCAATAGGCTGCTATATATACACTTAACAGAATCTTTGGACCAATAGTCTCCTCTCGATAGTTGGTGCAGCTTTCCTGAGAGCCTTTCTCGTCTTCCGTTGGCTCCAGCCTTTCCTTGCCATGACCACAGCCACTTCAGCCCGGAGTAGATCTCTGCACGGAATCGTCATAACCATAACTGTCGTATCGTGCTTCTGCACGAATGTCGATTTCTCCGAGAGAAGACAATTTGAAAATGAGAGCTTTTGGAGTGACTGTCATTTCGCCCGCCGATTATCGCAAAGGTATGGAGTTACCGGAGCATACAACAATTGACAATAGCCTCACTACCAACAAGGTCGCTGACCTCGCCGTGACTCACGCGAAGATGGCTTCACAAGGTCCTCACGGACGGAAAAGCTTGTCTTAGCCACGCGAATAAAAAAGCGCCGGGTTTTGACTCCGGTCCTCATCCTCAATCCTACGTCAACACTACCTCTTATTTCAACAGTCTTTTCCCCTTCCATTCAAGTTGTTTCCTAATCACCAACTCCCACTTCACGGATTAAGCACAAATTCGCCCATCAGTATATCGAAAATGCCAACATGGAGTTCATTACCAGCAGAGCTCCGTTTGATGATCATCCACCATCTTATGCAGGCGAAACACGGATGGGCAATCTACGCCTCGGTTTGCGGAGAGTGGCAACATGAGATCGAAAGAAAGAATTTTCGCCGACTTAAACTTGGAACATCATGTGTAGATGGCTTACGAAATATTGTTCGATCGCGGCATTTAGTCAAACACATCTGGTTGAATATCGAGCTACGACGTTACTCATGCAGAACCTGCCGACGGATTGAGGGCGAGAAATGGCAAAAAGGCAACGCCGAGGTGGTCAGGGAGGCCATTTCAAAGCTGTTTTCCATCTTGCATCAATGGCAAGCCGGTAGTGAGCTAACACTAGAGCTAAGTGCTCAGTCACCTAGCGACAGGGAACACGCCTTCAAGAATCTCTACTTCGGAGGAGATAATGAGAATGGATATCCAAATGTCGACTATTCTGCATCTGAGTCGGCTGAGATCACTTCCGCTGACGTTCAGGACCCAAAGCATGGTTGGATCGATGGCGTACAGGTTCAAGCTCCTGAATCAGAGTCAATATCCCGGATATTTGAGCCAATCTATCCCAAATTTACCGACGATCTACCATCGGTACATGCAGTCACTAAGTTTGTGCTCCGTCGGCAGTGCCGTCGTCAGTTCGAGCTTGGAGCTCTAGAGCGTCTCCTAAACAGACTACCTCGCTTGGAATCGCTGATCTACGAGCCATGGGAACGATGGAATGTGGGGATACAGAAGTCTATCGATGAAAGAGGTAAGAAATGACTGAAGTATCTCTCGCGGGCATTCATTATCGTTTGTATGGTCTAAAATGTGATTTGATCTGTACTGAGGTTTCATAGGTTATTGCGACTTGATTAGGCTGCACCTACCAAGTACGCTGAAAAGAGTATCGTTGTTTGAAGAAACAAGCGAACATTACGCCAAAATTTTCAACCAGTCTTACCCATCATTCGGTTACGGTATGCCGCGCGTCGCATCACCCGTGGTGAGCTCTGCCGTTGCAACTAGAAGCCTCAATCTTGAACACCTCTCTGCCGCATTTATAGTTGAGGCCAGGGACTTTTTCATATCGTGTCAGCCATCGTGGGTTTGGAAACATATGCAGTCGTTGGTTCTCACATCTGATACGCTTTCTCCCAAAGCCAAACTCAAGGATGTTTTCAATCTCTTGCAGAATGCCGCAAAAGCTGCTCTTTCCATGCCAAGACTACACACGTTGACGCTGTGGAGCACCGGCCAGAGACAAGCTTGTAAGTTCTCATACCAGGTAAAACCCGCCTCAGTTACGTGGAGAGGAACATGGGATCTCGAGCTTGATTCTCGCACGGTTCAGGATTGGACGACGGTGGCTCGCAACCGTGGGCAGCATGACCTTCAAGTCAAGCGAGAGCTTCTCTTGACGCATGTCAACTCTCAGGGCGAGGCAGTTGAGTTGTTAGACCTACCTTGCGGAGTTGTTGATCCTGGATCCCTATGGCAGATGCGGAAAGAGATGGTATCTGGTTGGCAGGATAGTTGAATAGTCATGGCTTGCACCTGGTTTTCTTATGCTACTTGAGCGACGATGTGGAGTTCGGCGCAGCTTGAAGGACATGTAGACTCATTCGAAGCGTTGGATATCTAAAATGAGTTCAAAAACATTAATGCGATGACTGTCCTCAGATATGAGCGGACTTCAAGGAAACGATAGCAATAGTGAAGTTGAAGGAGTTGAAGATCGGGTCAATAGTTCCGTGTAGCATCGGTAACAGGTTACAACGGATCGATTCTGAACTGCTCACCAAATAGGATCATATGTCAAGGACTTTGATGTTCAGCCGTGAGCTGGTTGATGTGAGAAGTCATCCAGCCCCTTCTGATCCTTGAAACGTGAATGGCTGGCCTTACAGCCACACTTTCCCGATGAGGACGGATCATTGATTGCACAGAACCATTCAGAGAGCGGCTTATTTCTCGAAAAGAAAGCAGGTGCCTAGATGGCACTGAAAAGACGGTCCACCGGATTACCACAGCCTCGGACCATCTCATAGCTTTTCCATCATCGTCTCTACTCGCGTGGGCAACAGGCGGTCGAGAACCACCTGGGCAACGCTAGTCCAGTTGCCGCGGTACCGTCAGATACATCACGATTGACGCAGATCATGTATCTTCTTTAGGGCTGACATGCCTCCAGGTGCATCTAAGCGCACGACGTTTGCACAACTCGAGGGCGGCGCAGGCGCGCGCTTGTCTTAGACGTCGGTTAGCGTTACCAATTGACCCCAAAGAGTCAAGACAGACTACCGATGTACACATCAGGCACCACAATACGTTGTTACACGCCAGTCTGATGGGCTGCTGACGCGACATTTTGTTCTACTAGTTGATTCCAAGATGATCTCAGGCCTTTCGCTCGTCAGCCTCCTAGAGCCTCTGGGGCATAGTGTTGTGACGCCGGGTCACGTCCAGCCCGGTGGACTGAATTGTCATCACTTACCCACATCCCGACAACTTATAATATACGGGTACTCCCTATATCAACGATGTCTTTTTGCTATCATCATGATTCATCCCTTCGACCAGGATTGTTCTCAATCTCTTACCCCCGATGAACTTCAAATCACTCCTATACTACGTCCTACCGACCACTCCATAGCCAAACTCCGCCATGTCTCATGTGTCTAGACATCCTCTTCGAAAGAGCTGCGCTTTTTGCAGAGCTCGAAAGATCAAGTGCTCCAACGAGACCATTTGCGAAGCTTGCCGCAAGCAGAATGTCGACTGCGTATACGACTGGGACTCTCGACCAACCAAACCTCGCCCGGTTTCTCGAGATGGGAGTCGAAGGAACAGCAACGCTGATGGAACCATCTCCATACCTATGATGCGACGTCAACGATCTTCCACTGCCGGTTCTTCGCGCTCCACATTATTTCTAGAGAATCCGACTTTCTCAGCGGAGAATGGGATAGTCTCATTAGATTGCGAGGATGTGGCAACTGTCTTGGAAGAAATATTTCAGGGAAACTTTGGAGAATATCTTGGCCTCGGCACAAAGCCAGAGTTTGAAGGCAATGATGCCACCCTCCGCCATACACTTCAACGCAACCCATCAGGACAGGGTGGAAACAGCAATTCCAAGTCTTTTCAAAAAGACCCGAAAGTATGAGGCCCCGATGACTTTCAAAACTCAAAGCCTAATCTTCATGATTCTAGTATACAAGCATTCTTCATTTCCTCTCTCATGATTTGGTCAGCCTAGTTGTCAATAAGGTCGGAAGTCTAGGATCGACGTTCTTGGAACACGGTGGTGGAAGATTTTACTCGAGTACCCTCGCCAGCGACACAGCCCTGACAATGTTCGACGCAACACTGCCAGGTCCGAGTCCACTGTCAGAATACGGCACCCGGCAAATCGGACAGCTGGTTGATGTGTGGTACAGCGTTCATCCGCTCTCCTTTCTTGTATCAAAGACTCTCCTTCTGCGGGCACTCAGAGACAGCACCCACGACGAGATTCACCTCGCCGTAATACTTGCTGACGCCTCCATGTCACTCGGAGACGAAGTTGCCCTGGGAAAGGCTCACACACTTTTCAGTTGGGCGGCTTCTCAACTTCATAATCGCCCAGTGCTGACTGCAGCCACCCAGCCGGGCATGCCTGGAGACGGAGTCTCGCTTCCCAGTCTTTCTACGGCGCAAACTCTCATGCTTCTTGGCTGGAATGCCTTGTGCCAGAAACAAACCCGCCGCGCAACCTGCTACATCAACCTCGCTGGCCGCATAGCCACTGAGATTAAAGAGAAGATCTCCGCATCAGGGGGCTCCTTAGTTACAAGCCGTATCAACGGCATCGATGTCTGCGAAGTGGAAAAGGAGATCGCGGCTTACCTTTACTGGACTACGTACGCTCTCAATCTTTGGATCTCGCTCCAAAAACGCACTCTTGTCTCTCAACTGCAACCCACAAGCGCAGCATCGATCCTCCTGCCCGCTGATGAGTCTTCTTCCGCAATGATGCGGCTCGACGAGATCTCTGATAACTTTTCAACACTCCAGAAGCAGAAGGAAATGATCAAAGACATCTGGCCCTTGGCCCATATCGCCAGCACAGCAGCTTATATCTTCAACACGTATCTCGGAGCCGCCGCTCTCGAAAATGCGACTGCCGTTTGTCATGATGCTTCCAGAGTGCTGGCGGAGAATATTTTCGTGGTCAACCTTCAATCGGCGCCCGCTCCTTCGCGTTACTTCGTACTGGCAATGTACCATACCATGTCGATACATTTGCTCTTCCCGTCTACCGGAGCATCGACCTCAACAAATCCCTTGCTGTTGAACGAAGCGGCCGTCGAGAGTTTTCTGGTTTCTGCACAGCAATCAGCCGATATAATGCTCCAAGTCGGAGAGCATGAAGATCCGGTGCTTTCGTCTTTCCCAATACAGAACCGGAGCAACGTTCCTGACATCTTCTGCCCGACTATGGACGCCTGCGCTCGCGGTCTATCTTTTATCTACGCACAAAAGGCCTCTGGGGCGTACGCGATGAATCCACAGATGGATGCATACGATATTCGTCTTGAAGCTCTCGCGTCTCGGCTTGTGGATATAGCCGCTTCAGACTTTGTCCCTGGCGGGAGTCAACTACGAGTCATCAAGAAGCATCTGAAAGCCGTTTTGAGAGCCTTCGGTGGTGACTTCAGCACTCCAAGCAATGGTGATAGACTTCTCAGTCTTAGTCCCATGCCTATTCACCCACACTCAGCTACCTCATCGACCACATGCTCTCGTCGCAACTCGTTTTTGTCACACAGTCCACCTAGCGAGTACATCTCTACAGCTCCAACAGCTGTAGGATCTGCCCGATCCTCGATGATCGGCGCTATGTCTACGCCAATGATTCCCACATCGTCAGCCGAATCCTACCAGACTCCTTTTCCAGCATTCAGCAGTCCTGAAGCTAGACCGCAAGAATGGAACAATTATTTTACGCCATCCATGAATGCCGCAACTTTGGCGCAACCGTCAGCCGACCTCTCGTTGACGGGCATGATGAATCCTCATGCAGCGTTTCCTGGAGAATGGGATACCAACCACGTAAGAATGTCTGCTGACATGGGTATGGAGTCAGTGAGGATGGAGGCTCACTGGCAGTGGCAGCTAGGTGCTGTGAGTCTGCCTCCTGAAGCGGTCACGGCAGGGGGCGATGTTGATGACATGTTCTACTACTTCAACCGGTGAGGTGATATGGTTACATAGTGTTCAAATTGTACGTTCATGGGCGGAAAGGCATGGCGATGGCGTTTGATAGCATTTGTAGCGCACAAACTCAAGGCATTCTTCGTTCTCCATATCGACCCTTACTGTCACACCTCAATGATCTCATAGTCACACCGTCACACCGTCACACCAGATCTTCCGTTGAGTCGCAGTCCATGAGTTGGCGGCGATCTGTTATCCCCACCGCCTCTTGCCAGTTGCCGGAACACTGAACCGAAGTAGTGGAACTGCCGTGTATCAGCAGATGCGCCCTTGATCCTCCCTAGGGCTTGGATGCCACAACCGGCCGCCACCTTTGAGGAAACAATACCGAAATGGAAGTTGTGGCGCTTCCTCCCGCAGGTCGGTCTCACTCTCTAGGGGTGTGTCTCAGTCTTCCAGAGTGGGCGATGGATCCATCACTCAGGGAACACTAAGGCGGCTGTGAATGTTTAGCATGGCATACGGCGCTTATCACTTAAAAGAGGTTGGTGCTCATAAGAATAGTGCCCTCGAAACTGAATGGAGTGATATGTTTTTGGATGTTCAGCCATCAACCGTTGGACGAAATTGTCCAATATGCTGGATCGAAGTATCGGCTTGAAACCACCCTCCAGACTGTCCTGATTTTGATTCTGGGCCGACCTGCAACGCTTGTGAGTTCATGTAACAGTCTCCCAAAGGTCTATTTCAGCCCAATGTTTCTAAGCAATCACTCATCAAATGTCATAGGTAGGAATAAGCGCGAGGCGCATAATCCAATGGCTCGATCGCCTTTGAGGATCCAGTTCACTAGCCCGCTAACATGACAAGCTTTTTAGTGACAAACCGTCCACAGCCACCGCCAGGCAACAGAATTCTTGACTCAAACCATCAGCAGCAGAGAAGCATTACCGCAAAGCTTGACCACTAATGAACCCAAATTGCTGCGAGAGGAGCAAGCTACTGGAAGGTTCCGTGGTCAGGCATGATGTCCGGCCACTGTCAGCCACGAGGGAGCAGCCGCAGGCTAAGCTTTCGTACAAGTGAGGTTGGGCGTGAACTTGCCATGCGGAGGTCATCCCTCCGCTGTTCAAATAATACCTGGCAACGTTTGTTAAACTGGACACACACAGCTTGCATATCGTATAATTACGTGGAGGATTTTGAGGATGTATGTCAGATCTTTCACGCACTGCCTTACACTGCAGAGATTCCCATCCTTGTCGAGGCCAATCAAAAATTAGATCAACACACAAAATAGGCAATTATTTTCCCTGCATGAACACGCGATTGACGCGACGATACCTGGCTTGCATCAGACTTGAACATCGATTATTTTGATGGGGCTTTTTGGTGTCTTCTGCAGGGTCAGAGCATAGCACATAAAATATCAAAGGTTTGGCCACATGGAGCAAGGGATATCTGCGTTCTAGAAGTCACGGAGTCCCTTTATAGGTGATACTTCTGTCACTGTGCCTTTTATCATTGGCCCTTTTGGCTGTCGTCCGTCTTAGCCGTCGTCCTTCTTGGCCATTTTCTTCTCCTTCGCCTTCGTCCACCTTGCCCATACGACTAGACACTGATTCTTCAAGAGCCGGTGATACTGATGATGCCTTGCAAGTTGCCAAAAACGCCATGCCGGAACAACCACTCGCCTAAAGTCTTTCTGCTGATGGTAAAACCCGATGGCGGGCTCATGACGGTACCGATGTGGACGATGAATACCTTTGGGTCGTCGTCGGTGAGAAACCCAGGCCGGACAACCAGCGTGTTGCGGCAAAGCTCACCAAATTCGATAGCCACAAGTTTTTCCATCCCGTACAGATCCTTGTGGAAGGAATTGTCGTAGAACCACCGGCAGCTACGTCTCAACTTGATAGCAGTCGGATCAGAGGTCGCCCAGAAAGCGCTATCAACCCCCAGAGTGCCCAAGGCAACAAATCGGGGCGGCGTTGTGGGCAACCCGTTGCTGTATTTCTCATATCCCAGATCTAGGACATCTCTGATGGCTCTCGCGGCATCTTCGCTCAAAGTGTCGTCGAACTTAGAATGCTCCGTGGTCCCTGCATTCATTCTGAAGCCGGATATTCCGAATATGATGACCTCCACAGGTTCCTACAATGTCTGAGGCGGGAATAGAACGTTTGCGACGTCGTCGTAGCTCAAGACGTCCCCTTGAACAACGCGAAGACGAAGAGAGTATTCGCGTGCGAGGTCAGGCATCGAGCTGACAAGCAAAGCCCTCAGCTTGTCTGTATCCCGAATAACTGAACGAAGTTGGTGAGTGTTCGGTCTACAAGAACCAGCCAGAATGACAACGACATACGGACGTGGCAAAAGATGGTTTCGTCCAGAAGGGCGTGGCAAAGACTATTGAATATGGTCCGACCCGTGCCGCCGAAGAATGCTACATGCTTCATTTTTATTTTCATCGTGATGGACAAAGTCGATCGTCTTTGGTGTTGTCGATGGTGAAGTATTGATGCGAATAAACCGAGGCTCGTTGTTGGCTAGAAGACGGATGGGTAAGGGAGAAGAAGGACGACGACAGAGACGCCTATGACAGACGGCAACAGCCCGGGAACGGCAGCAACAGAGGTGATTATGCTGTTGCCTGATGTAGGGTGTACATTCGCGGAAGGTAAGGCTTGGATGTAAGTGCCAGTCTCCAGCGGCGATCGTATGGTGTGCGGGAAGGATGCAACGGCGCGGATGGTGTGTGGCTTCAACGAAGCACCACCAGATTCGCGTTCCGGACCAATTGGATGAGTGCATTCCACATCACTTGAACGCGAGGGTCAGAACCTCAGAAAATCTCGAATAATGTACCAATCGTCGTCACGTGGAGCTGATATCATGCATGTCAGGTCAAAGCAAGGCGATAACCTGACGCATCTATTCTTCAGGGGCGATGTGGACATTCCCAACCTTCTTCTATGCACAAGTAACTGCTGGCAAGCGCCAAAAGGTGTCAAACTTTCCAGACAACATCCATAGCCGCGTAATGGACGAGACTGCAGTCTAGATGTGTCGAATCGAGAAAATCTCCAAAAGTTTTTGGATTGCTCAAGCTGCTGGACGACGGCGCTTGTTGGTCTAGCATTGCACACAAGCCCCGTAGCTCATACACTACGGCAATCCTACCGTCGAGGCTCAACGTCCATCATACAATTGTATCACCGATGCAAAAATACGCCTCAATATTGTGCATAATACCGGTACCTTTCGAATACAACCCAACCGTACCTGTCTCGTACCATACAATGCGCAGCAATTGCAGCTTGTAGGATGCCTCGCCCGTTCATCCTTTCTCTCTGCAATGATTTCGACCGTTCCATCTTTTCCTAGCCTTTGGGAGGCGAGACGGTGGCGGCTAGGACTGTCCCGCGCATATCAATGGGCATGTGATGAGAGACATCTGCCCACGATACAGAGTAGACGACGGTTTGTGATGCCGACAACCGCATACTTCAGGGGGTACACTCTCAGGTCGATTCATATTCGAAATATCGTAGGTCTAGCAAGTTCCTATAGGTCTGGTACTCTCTGAACAGGCTAAATGTGTCCGCGACGGAACGTACTGACAGCTAAACCTCCAAAGTTCAGCGTTTGTGAAGGGGAATGCGAAAAAGGCAACTGGGGGAGGAATCAGGGGTCCTCTGAGGTACGTACTTTGTATCTGTGACAAAGTGGGGTACGGGGTCGGTGTGTCGGTGAAGATAAGATCGGATCCACTAAAATTTTCTCAGGTTGTCGCCGCCCCAGCATTCGCTTTCTCCCATTCTCCTCCCAGACCACGACGAACAAGCGTTACGACGTCTTCGTTGAACAATCTCGATCAGTCGGATCACTTCCGCAGCGTTTGTTCTCGGCTAATAGAACTCAAAATCGTGCACCTATCACAATCACACCACGCGGTCGGCCATACTCTCGATCTGCAAACGAAGCAACTGCGGCCGACGTCCGTCTCGGAGACTCCCTACGAAGCCCTCTCTCTGCGGCCAGACCCTCTCTCTGCGGCCAGACCCGCGCGAGCGAGATAATCAAACGAAATGGCGCAAGGCGGCTTGAAGTCATCGTCTCGGCCCGCGCCGACGGGCAAGCCCAAGCAGCAGAAGCAGAAGAACACGCAACGAGTGGCGAAGCCTCAGAAGGCCAAGAAGGGCATGGCCGCCGACAAGATGCAGAAGAAGTTCGCTGCGGGACTTGTCAACCAGACGGAGAAGCTTCTCGGAGAGCGCGCCGGTCACCTTGAGCTGATCGGCAAGGGCAAGAAGGCCAAGAAGGAGGAGAAGGGTCCTAAGGGCGGCAGCCGCAAGTTTGGCTAAGCGGGAATGGGCATTCGTGGAATGGCGAAGATATGCGGAACGGAAATCAAGCCGACGATCCAACGGGCGCTTGAATCAAAGAGAGTCGCCAAATCACGGTCAGAGATGGGCAATGCGGAGCTTGAAAAGTGCCGCCCGTGATGTCTGACAAGACTAGGGCCGGGCATCACAGCGAGCCTGAGGGCCCCGGTACAGTGGTGGCTAAGTACAAGAGCTGGAGGGCTGCTCCTTTTGTGGACAGGATGGGCCGATTCCGAAAACAAGATACCCTAATACATGAGCAAAAAAAGTTTCTGATTCATCTCACTCGAGTCTTCCGGGGGAACGGTTTTACCTTTTCGAAGTTGACGCCCGCTTTCCATTTTGAAAACTCTAGATGCCGTCCTTGCCGGCTCGTATCTACTGACGGGAGGTGACAAACGTCAAATGAATCTCAATGGAATGAAAAGTACCGACACAATGGTTCCCAGCTTTCCATTGACATTGCAGGACGCGACTCAGCAGAGCGTTTGGTTCCCCCGTCTCACGCACGTCTCCCACCGGCTATAGATTCCAAAAACGGAACACATCGAGACACAGGATGGACGTCAGTGGGAAACCGCAATAATGCTTAAGTACCTTCCCTTAGTCCCGTGCAGGCACTTCAGGCATGCCGTTCAGGAAATTCTGATTTAAATTCAGTACCTCATCCACTCGAGCTAAGCCAATTTACTGCCTTTGTCAACAACTATCCCCCGAGTCTCTATAATGAACACACGTCTGTCTTACCAGCGATACCAGTCGGCTGGTATTAAATGTGACTTTGGAATCAGAACACTGTCTGAGACCAGACTATACCACTAATAATTGCGGACGGAGAAAGATATAATTCAAGTAGGTAGGGGAAGTCTCGTCGTGAACCTTGTGTGGTGCTTCAGGAGATGACTCCAGTCGAACGAACTGTATTCTGAAGATACCTACACACGGTAAGCAAGCTACCTAGCTAGGTAGGTTTCTGAAGTATACAAGCAACGAATCATCTACACACCTTCGGTCTCAAATAGAAGTCGCGAAGACCTCGGCTTTAGCATTGCATACAAGGTCATTGGTTGCTATGACTCAAGGCGCGCCACCCATTACCCAGTAGGGGTTCGAATTTGGAAGGAAACGTGAATCTTCAGGTCTTCCCGAGTCTTTAGTGCCATGGAACGTGAGTGGTATGCTGGGCAAGTCCTTTCCGAGTGAGGCGCGCGACCCGACCACTTTCTCTCGCGGCAACTTCCTGAAGAAGCGGGTGTCTCAATCCCAAGCTTCCGATCCACCCAGTTCAGAAATCTGCCCTCTCTCCCCATGAATGTTGCTAACAGTTCTCCGGCGCCATCTTTTCCTCGCGCACGAGCGGTAGTCACATCAACAAGTGTCAGGCCTCAGTTGACAACAATCTGTCATGCATCTCATCAGGCCTTCAAGGGGCCAAATCACCAACATCAGCCCAAATGAAGTTCAATCACAGGCGCCATCGGACGATGAAGTTCGGGCAGGCGAGTCGTTGTAGCACTAGTGGGATGCCGTCCTCACGGGCCATTATTAAGCTTCCTGCGAGTCGGACCGGCCAGAATGTTAAGCTTACAAAACAGCCACATCTCGGCATTGCACTGCCTCCCGCGATACGTGCGCAGGTAGGTGGGCGTTATGAGGAAAGGGTGATACACGGTAGATCATACAGTGACACTAAGCTTCTCTTGTCCCGAGGGGGCCGAGGTTTGAACAATGCTTCTCGCAAGAAACCAAACATAAGAGATCGAGAGATATAGGCAAGGGGCCAATGGGCGGCCACGGGCGATCTGCATACGAAAGCGGGCACGAATGAAGTGCAGCTGGACACGGTGGCCGGTCAATAATGAAATGTGTTATTGGGGCCTACCGTGCTTCAGGTTTTCATCCTGCGCTCAGGGATCTGCGACCTGGGACCTCACGGACATCCGGGTGAGCCATGTCAACCATGGGCCGCTGTGGTCGGGGCCGGTGAGGAGGAGAAGAGCCCACGGGATTCGGTTCCCGGCAGCGTCTCGGGCGCAGGATGTTTTGTGAAACCCCTCGGGAGGAACAAAAACTGGGTCGGTGAGCGGGCGGCCTCGGTCGTTTTGGGGATCATGTTTATCGGATCTGCACCGGGATCGTCTTCCAAGAGTTGAGGAGAACGAAGGACATCCTGTAGCCGCTCCGAGAGCAGCTGGGCATGGGCCAGTACATCTCAGTTCCGTAAAGTGCGGCCTCAGGAACATAGTATCACGGCGACCGATCGTGAAGCATAACATTCATGTTTCAAAAACACTCGCTTCATAAGCTATTGTACATCATGTTTGTACAAGTCCATGGATGCTCGCTTGCTCGTGACTCCATCTCGCAGGACCGCCATCTATACACAAATTGTATGCCCGTCATCAAGTTTTCATCAAAGGAGAACATGAATGGCTCTAGTTGAGGAAAAGGAGACATGCACGTCCAGCGTGTCACATCAGGTATTGTTGAGCCAAATGAATGATTTCCCTACACCCCATCATGCGTCGAACGTTATCCGTATATCCGTACAAATACAACACAGAAGAGAACAAGATTGTACACTGAAACGAAAAGAACGGGTTTCCCCTCATCAGTAGATTCATCAGTAGATGACGGTCACCCTCCTTCTGCGTCGCGTTGGCTTCGCCTCCTGACCCATCATCGGCGGGCCGGGTATGGGGTAATCGAGGTTGTCCTTGTAGATGTTGAACTTGATACCGTCGTCGCCAGACTTGTACAGCGCCGTCGCCTTGACACCCTTCGGCTTCTCGGATCCTCCGCCCTGGACATCGAGGTTGAGGCACTGCGGATAGTTCTGAGCGCCGCCCTCGCGTCCAGCCTCGTGCAACGCAATCGTCTCGTGGCGCAGAACGTACTGCCCAGGCGCGATGTTGGCCGGGATCGTCATCGTCCATGACTTGTTGTTCGAGAGCATGTCGTCGGAACCCCACTTGCCCGGCGCCTTGGACCCGTCGACGAGGCCGACGGCGTCGATCTTGAAGAACTCGAGATCCTCTTTCTTGACCTTTGCGCAGTCGCCGTTACAGGGAGCGAGGTAGTCCATCATGGGCCCGTGATGCGACTCGGGCCAGTCGGTCCAGAAGACAGTTACGTTAGAGCCGGCGGTCACTTTGGCGGCGATGGGGGCGGGCTCAGCGCCGACGTGGCAGATGATGTCGGGGTCTGCGTACTTGTCGACGGCGACGAAGCCGTTGGACAGGTCTTTGGGGATGGACCAGCCAACGACTTGTGGCGGGGGCTTCTTGTACTGCATTTGCGGGCTGTAACCCTCGTAGCTGTGTCGTGTTAGTGAACCGTGAGGCTATATGAGAGAGAACTTATCGGGTCCGCGCTTACAAGACTCCATCCGCCATGATACCGTTCACCGTTCCATGAGCACTGACGGCCTGGATGGCTGCTGTAGCCAAGAGGACGTACTTCATGGCAGACATTGTGAAGGACTCTTCGATGCTCTCGCGGATGGCTTGTTTAGTCGATGAGACGTTGGGGGAATGTTTGGCTAATTTTCCTTTCGCAAATCCTCCTAGAAAACACTAAATTTACCAAAAAAGGATTGTCGTCGATTATATGTTATCCTAGAGAGAGGTTTGCGACTGAGTTTGGTTAAGGAGCGTAATAGTCGACCAGCGCGCTATGTTAAGGTATTATCAAAGAGTGTGTAAGTGCTTCACCCGGAATGCAACGTCGGCTGGAGATGGTGTAGTCCGGAAGACACTTTATTATATTGCAGTTCTAGCCACAGCAGAGAGGAAGAACAAGTCGCGGTTGGGGAGGCATGCCGGCCCCCGATTCATCCGTTCAAACATTCTTCAGCCCCTTTCCACCGTCGTGCGCTGATGTTCGAGCACACCCTCAAAGGAAAGAAGGTGCAAAACATCAGACACAAAAGAGGCGACGATGACCTCAAAACCGAACGCGATCCCATTTCTGATTGGGCGAGATCAGATCTTCGCCATCCAGACCATTGGCTCGCAGTATCAGTTGGTCATGTACCCTGTTTCAAGACGGGGTTAGCCAGTCTTCGACTCGGTTTCCCCTTTCCATGGCGTCCGTGCCGGCACCCTCCTCAGCCCCATAGAGTTATCTTCCGACGATATTTCACGTTTTTCTTGTCTGTTGTGGGTAGGAAAGTTTTGTTCCGGCCTTCGGACAGCATGGCCATCCTAGACAAAATCGGGATTCAGACCATTACAGGCCAAAGACTCACAGTCACCGGCTCTTTCGTCTCAAAAACTTCCCAAAGGGGAAGCGGCCTCGGCTACCGCGTTCAGGCTGCTCAGCTTTCCCCAATTTTTCATGCGATAGTCCGATCCCATATTACTTGGGCTGACATTATAGTCAAGGTTTTTGCGACCGTTTCATCCCTCCACAAAGTGTTCATCTCCTCAACCAGAGCCGCAAAGAGCTGATGTGACGTGCTTCTGCGACGTAAGTCTGATGTTTTCCAGCCTCGCTTTCTCGTTGAGTTGCTCGTATTGCCGAAGATAGTTTCTTCCATGATGGGCTGGCAGTGATGGAAATAGGCATCAGTTGCCATGATAGCGGCTGGTGGTTCGCCAAGGAGAAAGGCAAATGCGAACAGCGAATCGCGAAACTTCCGTCCGCGGCTCGCCCACAAATTGCGAGCAGTTCGCATTGATGACGCTGCGACAATCGAGCGCAGTGCAAAGCAGCAGGTTTTTGCGCTCTATGCCGACCGCCACTTGTCGCACACCTCCCCGATGATTTCGCCGAACTTTTCCAGATCTTGGATGTTGCTGACTCAAAGCCGACACACATATTATTTGCGATAAACCAAACAACGTTTTTGTTGTCCTCCTAAACTCCTTAACACCGCCAGATAATGTCGAAGTCCAAATCCCGTCCAGGCGGCAGGGCCTTCATCCGAAAGTAAAATCGTCCCGTGTTACAACAGCTCGAAGTCGTCCAACTTGTCGCGGTATTTCATGATGTTCCTCTTCACCTTGCTGCCCACGGTCCAGGTGACAAAGTCCTCCATGCTGCGAGTCACCAGGAAAGCCGGGTCGGTGCATGTCTCGGTACCCACACGAATGTGGCCCTGCTCGATGAGCTTCGTCGCCGCCTGAACGGTCTCGGCCATCCTGAGAAACATGATTAGCATTTGCTCTTGCGGATCCAGCAGCTATGTCGGGCTTTCATACCGAAGCCGAGTCATGACGACCGGGAGACGCCGCCTAGCAAAGGCGCTCACGGTGACGTTGTGCTCGACGGCAGACAGCTTTGATGCGGAGGACAAAACACCCATGTCGTACAGCTTATCAAGGAGGAGCTTCTCGTGCTTGCGACGAGCCGCGCTCTCAGGGGGCATGAGACTCAATCTATGCGCCATTTGACGGATGGACTGCGGAAGTATGTGTTAGTTGTCTTCGGGTGGATTGCTCGATCCCGTGTGTTACGAGTCGAAGCCATCGGTGCCAAACTCACGCCGCATAGCCGGTTGTATTTGTGCTGGTTGTCCTTGTTAGCGGGTGTCGATAGTATGATGGTCGCGACAATACTCACGTAGTCCTCAGGCTTCTGAATCATATACCGGCGCACCTGTTACTTGTGTTAGAGTTGGTCGCGAAAGCATCTTTTCCTTGGTTCTGCCATACCACTGCCGCATCTCGGTGATCGCCATCCTAGCAGAAACTATTAGCAATGCGCCTGGATCTGTGGACTTCGCGAGCGTAGGCTTGTGTCGGTACCTGCTTGTATGTGATGAAGTCGTGCTTCCGCAGAAGCTTCTGCTCGTGAAACTTGAGCTTGCGGACCATGCTGGGCTGTCGGCGTCGCGTATTCCCAGTGCGATTTGCTGGTGATGGTTGGCGGGTTGTCGTAGAGAAAAAGTTCTGGAGCTAAGGTGGGACAACTTCCTTATCGGTGCTTATCGCATTTGTGGGGCGGAACATCCCGTCCGCCTACCAAAAAAATACCGTGACAGCCTCAACACCCGCGACAGACCACGTCTGTTGGATCGACAGAATCCGCCCAGAAGTCAACCATGCCGCCGAGACTACCGTCGTTCCCGGCCTTCAAGGCCCCGAGCGCCTTCATGGCCCGGATTGCGCGACCTTTCTCCGCTACTCCTGCTGTGGCTGGTTCGTCAATGCCTCCCACTACTCAGAAATGCACGCAGCGCTAACCTCAAAATAGAGCCCAGAAGACCAATCTCGAATACCGACAGCCTCCTGGGCCTCGACGATCAGAAAGCGCCTATCGACCGAGCTAGGACTCTCATGTCGAAGAACCCCCTGGGCGGAGCACGTAACGCTGCTATCCGCCAGCGCACGATGCTCGATTCGCTCAAGAAGCAGAAGATTAGCGACGACTACCTCAAGCAGATGCCTCGTCGCTGGCGCAACGGCAACGTCTACGCCCCGCATGACCTCAGCCCCACGGAGATGGACAAGTGGAGGAGGATCCGAAAGCCGGAGGTTGATGTTATCGACATGCTGGGCATCAACCCCAAGGACCACTACAGGGTATGTCGCATCCCTGCTAACGGGACTTTTCGACGCAACTTCCTTCAGACGCTGACAGAAAATGTAGAACTTCGCCATGGTCTCTGAATTCATGACCTCCTTCGGACATATCATGCACTCCAAGGACACGGGACTGAGGCCGGTCAACCACAGGAGGATGACGAAGGCTATCCGAAGAGCCATTGGAATGGGTATCCACCCCAGTGTGCACCACCATCCCGAGATTCTGAAGAAGACGTTCAAGCAGGCATGGAGGTAAAAACGTGATGGCTGTGTAGAAGGCGGGGAATGTGGACGTGTATACCTTAGGACCAACAGGGATAGCTCCTCCCCATGTATGAATTGTACAACATCTTCGGCGTCTATTATATTTGTACAGATACAAGAAGCTTTTCTAGCATTTTTGTACAGATCATGCCTTCAGCACCCGCTGCAGCTTGAATTTCTTCAACTTTTCCGCCGTGGTGTAGTAGCGATGCTTCTCCACCTCTGTCCATTCCTCGGGGAACTGCTTTTTGGCCCATGCCTCAAAATCTCTTTGTAATCCTTGCCCAGGCAATGCGTTAAAAGGGATGCCCAAACTGTATGGTGTTAGCTGCTCGTATCGGGGTCGGAAAAGCCAAGGCATAACTTACGTCATCGCATCAGGCCCATATCCAACAGCTCGCTTCATCGTTCTGATCGTGCTCTGCACCTCTTGAAGATTGCCGTTGCCCGCGAGACCACCGCAGTAAGCGGCAAATACCGACGGAGGAACATCAATCTCCATCTTTTCGATTTTGTTCCAGATGTCCCTAGCAATTTGATCCCCAAAGGCTTTGATTTCACAGAGCGAGAACACGATCTCGAGACTGTTGTATGATGGGCCCTCGGCCGAACGAACAATATCTTGCCAGAAATCGAGTCCGATACTTGGTCGTTTGCAAGCTCCGTAAGCAATCATCAATGCGTTGTACATCTTCGTTGTTGGTTGGATGGTGGTGTCCATCTTTAACATGTTGTGGGCTAGCTTCAAACTGTCCAAGTCTGGACATCTGCCAATGCCCTCAAAAAACCTAATGTAGGCGTCGCTGGCCGGGTGGAAGTCGGGATTAACGTGTTGCCTCATGTGTCCGAACACATGGACCGCCATGTCGGGACGGTTGCGGGCGAGGAAAGCATCCATCAGCTCAAGGCGACTCTCGATGCTAGTCTCCTGGAAGAATTGCCTGAGAATTGAGTATGCATCCCACACTCTCGCCGTGCTGTTTTTGCTATCCAAACAATACCCAACAAAGGCGTCTCTGATAGACTGTCTTTGCTCGTTGCTGTGTTGGAACACATTCAGCGACAGTGTGTCGATAACCTCGAACTGTTGGTCGTTCTTCAGGAAGACTGTACACAACGCAACCACAGTATCGGGGTCAAGTGTTACAATGCGCTCCTCCAGAATGTCCGAGATCTCACGAATGGACTTCAAATCTGGTGTCGGTTGGTGGCAAAGCGCCTGGAGGTACTTGTTGATCAGCGGCAGATCCTCGTCTCCCTCCAGTTCGGTTTTCGGGAGCTGCATGTATGCAGCTCTCGCACCAGATAAGTCCTTTGCCCTGATCTTGAAGTCCATTTGGAGGAGGTATGTCTTGGCGTTGAGGCGGATACCGAGCTCAGAAGCAAACGCGATGAGCCGTTCTGCCAAGTAAGGGTCGTTTTTCTCGGTAGCGACCTCGAGAAGACCATTTATGGTATCGGTATCCGGTGATTTGGTGGGATCTTCGGGGTTGTGGCGGGCGACAACCTCGAACATGCCCTTCAGGTCGTCGAGCCTCTTGCCCATAGAAAGCACGGCCCACTGGTATATAACATCCCAGTGTTCCTTGCTTGGATTCGAGTCCACAAGCTTCTTAAAGATCGGCGTCGTCCAGCCCTTCTGTTCAGTCCTAACTGAAAATTGTAGCAGTTCCTTGTAAGTCCTGGCGGCCGGACGCTCTTCGTTGTGTATTGGCCGTAAAAACCACTTCTTCGTTTCCAAGACATTGTTCTTCTTCGCAAAGAAGACTGTCAAAGCCTCATGAATACTTGACGTGAATGGGACGCCAAGCGTCTCTGACTTCGCGACAGCATCGACGAGTTCTGACTCGCGCCCCTCCTCCGCCAGGCCTTGAAAGACATTGACCCAGAGATTCTGGGCCGCTGGTCTCTCTGCCACTGGGAGCTGACCCCAGTACTCTTGCAGGACAACGAGGCCTTCCTTGGACGCCCCAAATAGCGTCAAAGCGACGAGGAAAGATTCAAAGTCCTCTGCCGCGCTAGGGTCCATCGGATCCTGCGCCCTTTCCGCCTTAATTGCCTCGTACAGCTGGCGGGAAAACTCCAGATGCTCTTTCGTATCTTCCTTTGGCTGTTTCAGCAGCGCCTCGCGCGCAGAAACGAGCTCTGCCAGCGTAAGTCCGGCGCCCGGTTCATCATCCTTATTTTCCAGCAGGTATTGCAGCAAGTTTCTGCAGTGTAGGGCTTGCGTGCTGTTGACAACCACGTTGAACCGCAGCTTGTAGACGAAAAGCTCTCGGAAGGCTTCCACCAATTCTGTCCTTGTCGGTGGCCGTACGCTCTCCAGTAGGCGATTCCTCCACGTCAACACTGTTGTCCAACCGGGCTCGTACTCGGGCTTCTTGATTTGTCGCGGCGGCTTCTGGAGGATGCCGAAGAAAGTCCTCCGCTGGGCTCGTCGGGAAAGGGATATCGTTGATGCTACCGGCAGCTGGGCATAGCGACACGTTGGGCGCGAGAGGATCGAGCAGGCGGGGACGCAACCCCTCGGTACGACGACCCGTCGAGAGACATGGCGGGCAATTTGCGCCCTCATGATGTGGGTTTAATACTGGAATTGAGGGGTCCTGAGAACTCAATTAGCCGATGCGATTGGCATTTGCAGTCTTCTGACTACATACCTTGGCATTTTCAGACCGAACTACACAATTTGCGGCATCTGGGGAAGCTCAATGCCGGCAGTAGAAGCTCTCAGAGATTTGCGCCTTGGAATTGGACACTGGAGCTTTCGGGGCATCGAAATCGCGGCCAGCTCCCACCAAAATGCGACCCGCGCAGACGGATAAGACCGATGATTAACCGAGCTTAGTCATCACGTCATCAGTAACTGTATCCTGCCAACGGCTTCTTCGGCTTCAGCTCACGCACCTCGATTTTCCTTAAATCGTTTGTCATTGCCTTCATGATCAGGAACAAGCAATCTCATGTCGACGAACACATCACATGGTTCAAAGGAAGTGCGCAAGAGGCTGCTGCGACGCGATTATCGCTCGCAACGCCAAACATGTCACCAGCCAATCACGATATACTCATTACTGTGTCCCCGCGATCCACTACACCTCTCCGCACACAGTCAACCCATCTCCGAGAGAGATGGCAATCACGATGACGGGGTAAATCAAGTCTGGCAGAGCTGGGTATGATTTCCAGCCTGATCTAGCCAACAAAATGGCTGGAGCTTACGATCCGAAACGAGTGGTTCATGACTTTCAAAGTTGCTGCCGAAGTCAAAGCGAGCTTCAATTGGCTAGACAATCGGCTCAGACTGTCTATGACGTTACTACAACTTTTCGCGCAACCACCATTCATCGTTGAAGGCCCAAGGGCATGAAGACCGTTTTATGTTGTTGACAACACGGAACCTGAGAACCAAAATGACCGAGATTCTACTATTGAGATGGAACATTCCAGGGGCTGTCACGAAGCCCAAGCATCATGCAACTACGCTGGCGGTTGCGCACTCTCAGCAGTTCATGGCGCTTGGCACCTCGGCATCAAGTGATCATTTTCATCGTCCCAAGCGCCCAGTGGCATAAAGCACAAACGCGCTCAGACATCTTCGGCAGCCAGTGCGACATCCGCGGTATTCGTCCAGATGATATGGAAATGATCACTAGACCTTGCAGGCGCACTCGGCAATAATGGACCAGCCACCTGCTTCTACTTGCGCCCAGAGTCTTCCTTTGACCATCGATTATTCCTTCTTCCAAAGAAACTGTTGCAAGTGGTGTATCCTGCAGTTGCCATAGTCTGCGGAACAAAACATTTCATCATCACTGTAGGTAATCCAATTCGGGCTCATACCGTCTGATACTTACCGCTTGTAGTGGTCGACGAAGAAATCTGAAGAAAAAAGAAACGTCGCTTTTATCCCGCTCCGGAATTGTTCACGCCGGAGCCGGACGGCAGCATAATTCCTTCCGACCGATCCTTTCAGGAGGGCATTTTACTATCATTATCCCGTTCCGTTGAAGAAGCACCAAGCTGTCGGCCTTGTACTGCAAGGACATCGCGCTACACGTCCCACCTCGTTGAAATCCCGCCATGGGGTCACAAAATCAGCAACTCCATAGCAGACGGCAAGCTAGTAGCCGCGACCCCAGTTGCTACTTCTGCTGCTGCTGGTGTTGTTGGATAGTCATCTGCTGCTGTCTGATTATTACCGTCTGCGTCGCTGTCCTCTTCTCCTCTCTGCCGGCGACCGGACCTGTACTGCTGGATCCTTAGACCATGAACGAAGCCATGACTCCGATATCTCCATCTACGATCGATCCGCAGCTCATGTTCGTCCATGATGGACCGTCATTATGTGATCCATTTGGATCCTGACCTCGGCCTAATGAAGCAGCCAAAGTTGGATAACATCGGAGATGGTATAAGACAATGCAGGACAAGCCGCGGCTAAGCTGTCAGTCAACACCAGCAGCTTCGCTTTCCAGCACCCACCTTCTCCAAGCTCTTTTGCACAGCTTGAAGCTCATCGCCCAAGATGCCCGCCAGCAACACAACGTCTCAGACGGCTTTGTGCCTGACTTCCGTCAGCAATCCCCTCGTGCCAAGCAAGCAACCTATTCCACGCACTGGAGGTGGAGAGACTTTGGTTCGTGTTCATGCTGCAGGCCTGCTTCCACTCGACCAAAGCTTCGCGACCTTGGCGTCTTCAATATCTCGTCTCGTCTTCCACTTACTCTCGGTATCGATGTTGTCGGCGAAGTTGTCGAACACGGTCCTCAGCCTTCGAATACCCCAATGCCAGCTTCTTATCCTGCCGTTGGGACCAAAGTCCTCTTTCAAGGCGATCTCCGCCGCTCTCACGCTGGTGGCCTAGCCTCCTTCGTTCTCGCCAATACGAAACACCCGATACCCGTTCCTGAGATAATCTCCGTTGTCGAGGCTGCGACCCTTGTAACGAATTCTTTCACTGCGGCTCTTTCTCTGTTCCATCAATCTGGCCTTGTTTTCCCCTTTCCCGGCACGGACCCAATCTTTGGATCCCATAGCGCTCACGTGGTTGTCCTCGGCGCCGGTACTACCGTCGGGTCGCTCATCGTTCGGCTCCATTGCTGGTATCGGAACCATCATAACCACCTCTTCAGAGTCATCTTTCGCCTTTCTTCGAGCTTTGGGTGCAACCCATGTCATCGACCGGTCGTCCCCTTCCATTGCCGCCACAGTCCAATCCATCTTGGGGTCTTCCGTCATCAATGTCGTCGAGGCTTATGGGTCTGGTCATCCAACCCTCGCTGTCTCTCTCTTCGAGGTGTCCGGTGGTTCAGGCACCATCATCATGTTGGCATCCTCCACTGCCGCCGACACTGCCGCCCTGGCCGATAAGGGCATCTCCTTGCACAACGTCTACGGCTCTTTCGAAGCTCATCCAATCCTGTTCCAACGATGGGCCACCACCCTGCCGAAGTGGTTGTCGACCGGCGACATGGTCGTTCTCCCCCATAGAGTTATCCGAGGTGTCAACCCCCAAGCCGTCAACGCCGCACTTGATGACATCGGCAAGGGCGGTGGGGTAAGGTATGTCGTCCAGGTCCATGTGGATGATGGAGATGATGATGATGGGGAGGAGGCACGAGATATATAGACGAGAGGGATGGGAACGACAGGGCCCCCCGAGGGATATGGGGTGATGGGCAAGAAGAGGCACAGCAAGGACTAGGAGCATGCCGCCTGCGGGGGGTGTTGTACAAAGATCCGTCACAGTCCGGACGATCTTGTCCCATCATCGCCTAACCCACCCTCCATCATCCGATGTGACGACGGCTCAGAGCTAGTGCGAACATATCCCTCGCCCGTCGGTCAACAACACTTCAGCTCATACCCGAGAAGAGTTTGACCACACCCCCGGACGAGAGACACAATGGAAGGAAGGCAAACCCTGGCCAGAGAAGAGAAACGGCATGAGATGAACAGAGGCGAGGAAAAGCCAAGAAAGACGGAAAGAAAGAAAAGATCATCGACTCACCGCAATATAGCACACTACAGTTACCTGCCGCACCCCAGTAACCATGGTGTTTCCCAGTCTCTTCTCTGCTCTCATTCGTCCAGAGTTGCTAGTGATTCAAAAGTTGGCTCCAAACTTGCATTGGGAAGCTCTTAGCTCCGTCTCTCGTCTACCCCTCTTTCTCTCTAGACCATGGTCTACCGTCCTCCATGCCATCCTCACATCTCTGCTTCTCCAGCTGTTCAAAGCGCCGAGCGATGTGAAGAGCACGCCAGCAAATCCTGAATTTCTTCCATCTCCGGATTCGTCTTTACGCGCAGAATCCGCGCGGCGCTGCTGATCACGGGGGATGCGTAGTTGGCGTTCTGTATGGTTGAAGGGAATCCTTATGTCGCTTGGTTAAGAGATCTCTGGAAGTGGGTGTGGGAGGACAGCTCCTGAGGCGTTCACGTCTGCGTTTCAGAACTGCAAGTGCAGCTCGCTGCGACTGGCTGCTGTCAACTGGCAGGGCGCATTCATCTTCCATTCCCTTTCCCCAGTCGTTCTCTTAGAAGCAAAGCGGGAGGAGGCGGTAAGCCTGGCGTCTGGCGTTGGCCCGATTGTTCCTGTGAGAAAGGTGACGGCCTATCCAGTGATAAAGGTCTCACGTTGACGTCGTTCTTGCGTAAGGCCCGCCCTTCATCATCGCGGACTTGCTGAAGCAGCTGCTGCCAGAGAGGCTTCGTTGTAGGGATGGATAGTGCAGAGAAGATACGGACAAAAGAAAGACACAGGAGAAAAAGAGCCGGAGGCTAGCCCAGGGGGTGCAGACCAAAGAGAAGCAGAAACCAAGAGGGAACGGACTAGGCCTAGCCTGCCATCCGAACATCGTCCTGATGTCGGTGATCCGTGGGACATTGATCGACGGTTGACAGGTTTTCGCCCGTGCGCCGTTCGACGTTCTCACAACGATACCAGCATTGCAACGTTCGGGTACGGACTTGCTAAATTATCACCGAAGTGTGTCGACAGGGCAACCGAACCGGTCTTTCCACGCCAAGTAACGCAACTACCGGACCAAAATTCTAAAATAATAGAGACGAAAGCAAGTCTAATTTGGCAAACCCTGGGAGAAGAAGCGACGAACACCGAACGATGCTGCGTCGGACTGGCTTACTTGCGTCTAAGCCATGCTATCTTTTACGAGGCTGAACGAACCCGAAGCTGTCCCTGTCTCTGATGTCCGTGGGGATGGGGTTGAGAGTTCTGTCAGTTTCGACAGAGTTGCAGTTGACAACAGAGACGGCCGGTAAGAGCAAGACACTACAACCTGCAGCTAGCCGCAGTCGACAACCTCAGCTGCAAGGTTCCATATGGCAACCATGGCATGACCACGCCGCGACTGCCACAATATCCGGAACACCGCACCTCGTTGTTCACTGCTCACTTACACGCCTTCTCTGCGTGGTCGGGCGTCCCCGCGATGTCTTCCTTCCCGGCGTGAAGTAGATCAGCGGCAGGTACGAGGGTTGGCAAGCAGGGCGAGACAAGGATTCTCCCGGCCAGTAAGCACATGTGCGAGGGCAGATTACGAGGTGTGACATGGCTAAATGGGGTACGGGATCGTCAGATGAAGAAGAAGCAACACCGCGGGATAGCGATGCCGTCGGCGAGCTTTCATGGTTCGTGATCCCACGGGAAGGGAGGACATCGAGTGCTTCACTTACAGGCAAAGCTGCTCCATCTGGGTTGAACATGTCCCGGGCAAGTAGCTGACCGGCATATAGCAGACACGCGTCTTCGGACACGAAGGCGATGGGATGGACCCGACGGGAGAATCCAGAGACAGAGATAGGCAGGTTTGGGATAGCTTCAGGTGCCACAATCACCGGGTTCCGCTCCGCGAGATGAGGTGATCAACACCCCGACATCCATCCAGGCCTTGTTCCGTCAAGGAACAACGGCCGAAGGATACCTCGCACGACGCAATGCAACTCGATATTTGACTCAGTTCCCAAGGGACAGCACCAGCAGCAGCAGCATCAAGTCCGGACTCATCCTTCTAGCGGCAGGGTTCGAAGAGACGATGTCGGACATGTCGCTGCTTAGCATCACCGACGTCCGTTGAACCTCGAAGCACCAGTCCGCCGATTCGATGGAACGAACCAATCCCACCTGTATCCAACACCTTACCCAAGAGAGTGCCTTCCCCCTTTTCATCGCATCCTGTAATCACCGACCACCGACACCGTCGTCCGGCCTTTCTTGCGATGGAATACTGCAGACATGTAAGAAAGAAAATCAGACCGCCGCAAGCTCGCATGAAGTCCGTCCGGGACGGCGCCAAACCCGTATTGGACAGGGCCCGTCGTCGGTGTTGCGGCTACTCTGCCGCGCTTCACACTCGATGATCAGCACCTTATCAAGACGCTCCTGGCCTGGGTTCCGCGACTAGGAACAGCAAGCATCGCGCCGGATACCGTTTCTTTTCTCCTCCCACCCAAGCTCTATCCCCAACAGCGGACCGTCTGCTTAATCGGACGCCATAGACGTAGTTCCCGCCGGCACTTTGTGCCAATGTCTTTTCCAGGCCCAGTTCCAAAGGAACAACCTTTGGTTCTGCGGCCCCTCCAGTATGCAGCTGTCGTTACATCCTCCGTCCGCCGAAGGATGACATCGGAGGCTGTCTTCCAAGGGCGAGGCTGATGAGCTGAAAAGAAGCAGGGGAAGTACGAGAATGGGACGGTTCCCCGTTTGAGTGCATGTAGGGCGGCGGCGCGCTGCGCAGAATCGAGGCGGAGGGGATGTACAATCGGTCGCCGATGGATGCACAAAGGCAGATCCAATCTATGGGGTGATCGGCCGCTGTGTTCGGGTCGCCCAATTCTATCGGATGTCTTTTTTCCTCTCTCTCTGGTCTTTGGGAACTTTGGTATTGCATCTAGGCCAAAGGGACCCCGGACGGACGATTGTTCGCACTTGCGTGGCGCCGGTAAGGGGGTGTGGCCGCAAGCGCAACGACCCTTAGTTGGGGGTCCGAAGATGCCAACTCCGTCGTCCGGGGGACTACCACGGACAGTCCGAATCAACTCTCGACCGAACCCAGAAACCTCCCTTGATCTACAAGGCCAAGAACAATTTTCTACAGTCTTTAGAAGTCATTTTGTCGTTTTGCAGGACCGAAGAAATTCGCTCGATTCCCCCCAAGTGCCGTCAGCCAGGAAGGGAAGGCAATCATCAAGCCTTGCTTGACGTCGTGGTTCCAGAATTCTCCCCGGCCCATCTCGGGCATCCCGAGAGAACTTTACACCCGACAGGGACAGAGAAGAAGTTGAACGATGAGATCGTCTCTGAAATGAACCGTCGTGTCGGTATCGGTCGGTCGTCGGGTCTTCGGTGATTCAGCACCTCGCCCAGACAGCAACGAAAGACCCAGAGATGAAGAGACACGCAGGGAGTCGTGCGTTCAGCCCTGTGGCACGACAACCCTCATCGTCGCTCGGACGACAGGACCATAAGCGCGCTGCCCAGGAAGCACTCGCATCCTCTCGCGCCTCGACTCCTCTGATGGCTTTGACGTTGGGCAGAGGAAACAGATGACAAGCGGGACGTAAACCTGGGGTTCGAACTGGTCCCCGCTCGTTCCTCCAGGGAACCGCAACGATGTCGAGCCGTGATACCAGGATAGCAACGAACTATTGTGACGATGACTACATTGACGTTGTCCCGCGAGGCTTCGAGGCTGACAACTCAAGCCAGAATACAGCGGTAATGGAATGAAGATGACCCAATCATGGGACAGAGAGATACAACCTCACTCCTTAGCGAGCTGCATAATCTGGGGCGCTGGTTGCACCTGTAGTGCGGCGTCTGTTGCACGATGCCGGCCTCGGCCGAGCGACGACACCTTGCAGTTACGCCGCGCGCTTGGCTATCCTGCGCCGCTCCTCCGCCCTGCCCATGCGAGGGCATATCTTACCATCCCACAGAGCATTGGGCGAAAGACCGAGCAGGAAGGAAGCACTTCGCGACGCGAACAGGCACCGAGGTAGGCGAGACGGCGGATGAAGAGGCGAGATGCAAGACAAGACAAGTCGATTACATCAACGTACATCGGTTGAAAGGGGGGAGGCGGGTTGAGCAAGGCAGCCTTACAGCTTGCCCGCCGCCATGCTGTCAGACGAAGAGACATTCGCTCCTTGGCGGCCGACCGCTCTAGATGCACTTCCCGCGCGGGACGATACGAGAATAGCTCGACCTTAGGCCAGGCACGACGACAGACTCCATCGTCAAAATCCCACCAGGTACAGACAACCAGTCTACGTGCGCTGATTGGACGGAAAATTCGACAGCAAAAGATCATCCTACAACTGGGCCAATGAGTTCGAGTTGCCATATCGAGACGTTAGAAACGAACCCCGATCCTTCAGTCGATAAGCTTATCATCGAAGGATCATCGAACCAGTCCAGCTCTATCCAAAATCTGCCCAAAAAGGGTATTACAGCCCGACAAGAACTGACTGCGACAACACAAGTTCCCAATCTCCAATCCCTCTCGCTGCCTCGCAAAGCCACGCAAGTCGTCATTGCTTATTCTGCATGACCGACCGAGGTGGTCAGCCCAAGACAGCTGGGGCGGGCGGCGGGCGGGAAGGGCCTGT